TGTCAGACAATTTCTAAAAAATCTCTGCTGGAGTCTAAATTTTATAATCTGCTTGATGACACCTCTAGCATGCACCTTGTATATAGAGACTGGTCCATTTGTTTGCAAACTGAAAAGAAGTTTGAAACAATTTTTGCAATGCTTTGAACTGGAAATTATGACTACAGTTATAATGCACGTGTAATTCTGTTCTGAGGCTGATGTCTTATGTCACAAGCATTTTTGCAGGCTTCAGGATTGTGATTCACTATGTAAACTGGTCTTTAATGTTACATTTACATGTGAAAAATCATTTGAAAGTCAAATGGATTTTTTCCATGTGCCATTGTCAAATAAAACTTGAAATTTAAGAAAAATTACAAAGTGCATAGAGTACAGATAAAAGTTCATTCAAGCTATATGTAAACTTCATACCAAACAATATAAAATAATGTAAAAAAAATACTAGAATTGAGAAATATGATGGAATTGAAATGATTTTTCCTAGAAAGGCCAGAAAACTTTGAGGACCTCTAAATGTTCTAAATTCTATATGTATACAGTTTACTACCAGTACCAGGTATATTTGCTTTATGAGGACACTCATATTGATATGGGAGGATTGTTTGTTAAGTTGATGATAAAACGGTCCACCACACATTAACAAACACAAGATTAAAACATCTTTAGAACAGGGGCATAGGTGTGTGAGCATCTTGCCATTGAATTAATAATATGATACATCATGTGCTTGTTTTTCAGACTGTCCTTACAAAGGAGCCTTCTAATATTTATTTGGCTCTAAGGCATGTGGCGGATTGATTTGTGTGCTTAGCTTATAAAGAAATTACTAGTATTTTTAGTAATTTTATTATTTATCATTTAATTAATAATATGCAACCTATTAATTATTATTATTATTATTATTATTATTATTTAAAGTCTTCACAGTTTTCTCTAAAAGTATCATTATTTTCATTAATTTTTTTTAAGGAAGGAAAGGTTACTAGTATGTGTCTTTTGACAGAAATTATGGTCAGTTTTCTATTTATGGTGTTAAGGGTCTAGAAATCAGTAATAGTAGGCTGTGCTCACTAAGATATGAATACAGTGCATATTTTTCTTAATGCAGCACAAGATTAACCATTCTTGTTTATATTTATTGCAAGGTTTATTTTTCGCTTTGCTTCACACTTGCTACCACATTTTCATCCACTATTTGAAAAAAAGGAACAAACATACATACAGACAGCCGCACCCTATACTTTTATCAGTATCATCCCTCTTTCAAAAGCTGTGATTTAGAAGGCCTACTGGGACTCTGCTGATTATGGTCAACATGGTCGAATTGCAGCAGTCGTTGTTGTTGTTGTTGTTGTTGTGTGTGTGTGTGTGTGTGTGTGTGTGTATGTTTTTTTTTTTTTTTTTTTTTGTGAATAAACGTGAATTCATTTGATGTGATGAGATGGTATAGTGCTGAAGCCTTTATAGCTAGGCATAGTGTTATTACGTAATCTAGCTTTATCCTGTCAGGTGTCTTATAATATATCCAATCAGATGTATTCTTATACTTGGGTATATATATATATATGTATGTATATATGTATGTATAGACTGTAGTGCAGGTGTTCTACTTACTCGGCGAGCTTCAGTGCTTAAAAGCTGACTGATGTGCAAAAAAAAAGCGTCAGAATTTCTTAGCTATTCAAGACATCAACATGCAGTTTCTGCTCTTTGATATTGACATTGCCTGAACCAGTGACTCACCTTTTCTTTCATAATGGGATTAATTGCATGTTTTGGAAAATATTAGTGAAAGAAAAAATAACGGGAAATGAGAAAAAAGTATGTCTGTGCTCATAACCAAGCACACTTCTGATCAGGTGAAACTAAGACCACATTCAGATTCACACATTATACTTGCTGGGTAGGTCCAACTGTGTAGGGGTTTCTTGCTTAAGTGCAGTCAGTGGATTCAGCTTAATTGTGTGAGGTCTCCTTGAGAGCTAGGGTGAATCAACTAATGTGCTGATTAAGCTGATTCCAATGATTGCACTTTAGCAAGAATCCCTCACCAAGTTGGACTGACCCAGCTGGTACAATGTGTGAATCTGAATGTGCCCATAGATTGTCAAAAATCAGATTGGCAATTCTGTGATGTCATTTGTTCATTGTTGATCTTAGTTGGTCCTTTTGTGAACAAGATAAATTCTAATCAGTGTCACTTTGTCAGTGTGGTTTGCTCCCTGAGGACCTCTCCACCTTGGAGATGTCTGCATTAAATGTGTACATGTTGAAGAGACTTTTTTCCATAACATGATGTACAAAGTATAATGGGTCGATGGATTAGACAGTGTTCTTATGCCTTGTGGTTTAATTGGAAACAAATTAATAGAAATTCGGTTATGGCAGGAAACCACATCAGTGCACAGATTCAACATTTGCCAGCAAGCCAGTGCAAGTAAATTTCTGCAAATAAGCGAGTGAATGCCACTGAGAGAGCCTTTAGGAATTTTTTTCTATTCTCTCAATAAGTACTGGTTTTGGACTACATTTCCGTGCCTAACTTGGAGAGTTGCAAAATTTTTTAAAAAAGATCCAATCTCAGCTGCACCTTCAACTATGCGTAATGCTATACATTTATAGTTGGTTTTGTGGTAAGTCCTGTAATCCTGCCCACAAAGGGTCAACCCACTAGTAGGCGTTTTTTCCCACCTTGTGTTTTAGGAAGCAACTGAGTTTTCACCCTCGGTGAGCTGTATCGTGAAGTGGTTCATTGTAGGTCATGGCTACTCGCCAAATATATGACTAGGAGGGTAATCTGAGAACATTTTTCATAGCCATGCTGATTGGTTTTCCAGGATTTTATTTTAATAGTTTCTCCTGATCTTATAATTATTAGGGAGAAAAGAATTGTGAACTAGTAGTAAGTTTGTGTTTTGTTTTGTATTTTCAGATGACTGGCCTTGATGCTGGAAAGCCAAGAACAGTACTGTGTAAAAGCAATATGTGCCAGGTAATTTATACCTTTTAGTTCTAATTATAATTCAGACATGATATGGAATTTTATTGTAAAAAATGTGTGATTTGCATGTTAAGAGAGTCAAGAAAGCTTCATGGTTTCATGTGCATTCTATCATTGCTCCATTTGCGAAGGATTATGAGCTTGGGCTCATTTGAAAAAAATTAAAATAATACTTATTTCAGATGAATTTTTATTGATTTTGTCACTATTAGATGTTTGAAATGAAATGTGCTTGCATGATTTCTGGAACGAGGAAGAAAGCCTTGTTCTCTCTCTCTTGATAATTTTTGTATTAATTAATAAGTATGCATATATTTATTTAGCCAAAAAACAGATCCTTATTTTATTTATTACAGTTTAAGACAGATAATGTATTACAAACGTGTGACAAAATACTTACAATGGAATGTTTTATCCCATTTCTATAGAAATAGATAAAAGTGGGCAAAAATAGCACAAATTTAGTTAACAAACTCACTCAGGGTAAGGTAAGTACAAGTGCACTGTGATTTTTTATGNAGCATAATTAAAATTTGATGTTGAATTTGCAGTTTAACATAATGTACTTTTGCATCAGAATTGACAGTAGCCTATTTTGAGCATAGTTATTTCCTGTTTTTTGTCTGTACATTTGACAGCTTTGCTGCCTTGTTTTTTTTTTTTTTTTTTTTAAGGGTGGTTGGTCAGAAAGTTATTTTGTGGTTTTCTTCCATCTTGGGTTATCTTAGAAAAACACATTATGTCTGCCTTTACTCTGTATTGCTGCTGTCACAAGAGACGAGAAATCGGAGTGTTTTCCAATTCACGAAAATTATTTCTTTGTGCAAAATTTATGATATCAAAAAGTAATTGATGTGCTTTGTTGCCTCAGATAATTTGTAGGAATATTTGACTTTAATCAGAGTTGCCAGTGCCCAAAATTGCCTGTGGGGTAGTGAAAATGTTTTGTGTTAGCAGGTTAAAAAATATCTTTCTTCATTGTATGTATGAATTTGCTTCAAACCAACTACACATCTTTAATACAAATGTGGACCAGTCTGTATATATATATATATATATATATATATATATATATTCTTTTTGTTCTCTTTTATCCAGTTAACATAAAATTTTTACCTTAGCATGATGAAAACATTTGTTAAAAAGTCATTGAATTACAACGCACAATAATATGCTTTTGTTGTTATTGCTATTTTCGAATTTAAACAGTCTGACCTTTCCATTATGGAAAAGGAATACCAAGAAAATTATCCCATTTTGTTTCTCAGAAATTGATGAAGTTCAAAAGTGAAATGCATACTTAAGTACTGAAACATGAAGTCACCAAGTCCTTATCTTTCGTTTAATGTCTTTGGATGTAATGAAAGGTCTTTGTAAAAGGAGACAGAGAGATGGATGTGATATGGCTAAGGTTCTAGTTCAACTCTTTAAATAATATCGCCCATCAGTTGTATTCTTTAGAAAAATCAGAGTGGAGTAAAGCATTCAATTTCATGGTTTGTTCCCATAGCTTTAAAGTTGGACAGCCTTCCAAGTCAAGTGTGTGTTCCTATATGAATTAGGAGGTGCTAGCTGTTGCATAGGGGAAGACAAGAACTCTGGATCTTGTTTCACAAAAAGCATGAAAAAAAGGACTTGGCCTTAAGCTGCTAAAGTCAGATAACAAATGACAGAAAGATGGTTTTGGGAGTTTGGTCTTAGAGTGGACTTGTTTTACGATCTCTTATTGGCCCAGAAGAAGTAGTATTTTCAAGATATATCTTACTCTGCAATTGTCAGCAGGGAGAATTAAAATTTCTGGCAAGACAAATATCATTAAAAAGGTAAGCGGCCTTTTATATTGTCTATGAAACAAATGGTTGATTGATAAGTTCCATTGCAGTCATGGCCAAGACAGATTTTTTTCTATCATTTAGTATTAAGGTTGTTTTGATTTGTGTCTTGTATTGATTTTTCCCAGTGGGAATTGTGTTTGTTAGCTTGTATCTTGTGCATGCATGCACATGCATGTATATATAATAATACAGGTGCTTGTATACATGAATGAAGTGAAGGAGAGAGGTTAGGAAGAGACATCTCCATTGATATTGGAGATGACTTTGTGTGTGTGTGTATGTGTGTGGTCAGTTTCATATTTTAGTCTGTTCATCCACTGTATGTAGCAAAGCTATGGGGACAGGTAAATCCAATTGCTTTGTATGATACAAAAGAAATCTTTTCATGTAGTCCACAATTGCCCAAGTGGAATGCCAAATAAACTGCAGGGATTGATAAGAATTTTTTTGGTAAAACCATATGCGATTTTTATCTGTGAGCTCAACTGTTCATACAGTAATGAATGCCAGCTTGAGTTCTGTACACTGCTAGCACATGGTAGTAATTGGTCTATGTTGACCTGTTAGTTGTATATGTATGTTTGACTGATGTCAAAAAACTATTTCTTGTTCTGCAACAGTTAGTTATAAAAACTAGCAAAGCTTTTTCATTTTGAATTTTTTTTTTTTCATTTCAGTTTGACAAATCAGTCGAAGATTTGAGCTACCATTGGCAACAGTAGTACTTCAGCAAGATATTCAGCTTTTTTCAGCGATGGAAAACCTAAAGAAGAAGTTTTCCCCCACCAAACACACTGCAACTCAGAGCAGATCCACCTTTCATACCCCGCTGAAAACTTTCCAGTACGACGTTCAGGACTTTGGACTTCATGCCAAGGATTTCATTGGCTCCTTGAGCCGCTTCAGTGGGACAGGATCTCTCCTTGCCTTAAAGGCGCTGGAATTGTTTAATGGGACAGCCTACTCCGAGACTGCTGGTCAGTTTCAGTCGGCACTTGAGGATGTCAACATGGCCACGCAGGCAGTGACCAATGAAGTGAGACAGGAAGTGGACACACTCATCCAGCGCCTGGTCAACAGGCTGGAGCCCAGTAAAGATGACCGGTCCGAGGATAATTTAAAGGTATTTCACTAAATCAGTCTGTTAGACATTAATAATTATTATTATTATTATTATTATTTTTATTATTCAAGTCCCATTGTTTTAGAGTTAGGGCTGACCTGTTTAAGAAACAGCAGAAAATGTTACCAATGAATATAATTTTGATATTCAGTGCCTAAAATAAGATTCTAGTCCAGGCCCGTAGGCAGGGGGTGTTCAGGGGGTTCAAGAGAACCACCCCTTTTGCTGGGAAAAGGTCCACTCTGGGTAAAATTTGATCTAGGTACATGAAGTTTTTATGGAAAAAGGTCCACTTTTTCAGAAAAAGAACCCCCCTTTTGAAATTGCTGGCTACGGGCCTGTAGTCTATACCACGTTCATATTTAGACTAACCACAAACCTACTTAAAGTTTTCACTTGACAAAAATTTACAGGTAAAAGCCACCTTTTGATGACTTCATATATTGGCTAACTCCAGTCAGATTTGGTCTGATGTTAGTGTTATTTTTACAAAACTTGTATGTCATTTTATTTCAGCTCCTTGCTCAATGCTTTGTAGCAGTCGTAAGGTTGCAGTGTCAGTTCTTTTTCTCAGTTACGGAGACTTTTTCCCAATTTTCTTCCATCAAAGATGTGGAAGATATCCTGCCTGTTCCAAAGAGACCCCCACGTTCATTGGACAAGTTAAAAGCAGCAGACCAATCAAAATTAACCACTCAAAAAGACAGCCAGTCAAAAGAGAAATCAGAAGATAAGGGTGCTAAAAAGGCAGCTGGTGAAACCAAAGATAAAGCAGGCACTTCCCATGATTCCAAGAGTGCAGCCAATCAGAAAGCTGGACCTTCTGTGCTGCAGAACATGTCTTCGGTACCAGTTAACTTGCCTGTTGAGAAAACAAGTCAAAGCTCAGCAGCACCTGTTCCTAAAAGTCATCCACTGCCTGCTTTGCAAACTTCTTCCAGTTTGGAAACTGCTTCCACTCTATCGAATGAAGACGGACCTGGAGCTGCTGCAGCCTGCCTAAAGCTATCACGTTCACAGAGCGTCCCTCCGCCTAATGGCCACACGGTGTCACAAGAAGTGCTGGACAGCGTTATCGATTTCCTGTCAGGCATTCGCAAACCACCTATGCAATCTATCCCAGAAATCTCACTCCAAGGTGAAGGTCACGAGGACGATGGGATGGACCCCTCATCTGGTGGTGGAAGCAGTTCTGGCACTACCCCTTCCACTATGAACATGTCCACATCCAGCTCAGCAGAGTTCCAGTACACCAACCCAGGGCCTCATCGCCACTCTGATGCTGGTCTGCAGTTCCTGGACCTTCCTCTAGACTCCTCCCGCGGCAACACCTGGCCTTCCACCATGCACCATAGGGGGAGCTACCCCAGTGACCTCATGATGGCTGCCAACCAGCAGATGTATCTGCCGGGATATGCTGCTGCCTATACGCCAGAGCTGGAGTACAGCCAGTACATGGCTCTGGTGTCCCAGGCAGGCCAAGATGGGCAGTATCTCCTGGGACCAGGGTGGGGGGCAGGGGATGCCAAGCTGAATAGGAGCTGGCCACCAAGGTAGGTACAGCCAGGAGATGGTGCTTCTGGACCAAAAACTGTGTTACTTTTTTCAATGCACTTACAGTCATAGAATGCCAGTTTTAAAGATAAGGGTTTAATATGACTATTGAATTAATAGTGTTTATATCTTGTATTTGAAGGAGGGCTGATGACCCCAGTTTGACCCTTCATTTGACCTTGATTTAACCTGTGACATTTGACCTAGTTTAAGCCTCCTTGGTGCAAGGATGATAGCCCTATATAGAATTCGTTGCAAGTGACTTCACAATGGCCCTAATAAACCGCTGACCTTTGATTGACTTTTACATGACCTTGACCTTTGCCCTGGTTTCAGCTGGTCTGGTGCCCAGGATGACAGCAGTGATGAGGACTCTTCTATAGAGGAGCAGGTGGCCCTGGGAACAGATCTGATGAATGCTGTCAATGACAAGAGGAGACACAGCAGTGGTGAACACAAGTTCTCTGATGGGACTCCACTGCTGCATGGTGCTGGTGCCGAGGCCAGGCCCAGGAGTGTGGACGACCTTCATATGGTGAGTGAGGCCTTGTGACCTGGCTGCATTGAGATGAGTTGGTGTTAGACTTTGAGAATGAGAAGAAGTAAAAGCAAAAGAAAACAAGGAGGATCTCTGTATATTGATCAGTTGGTGACTTACCGCAGACCATTTTCCAGTCAAATGTTCACCTATTATAAAGCCAGTATTGAGATGATTTTAACAGATGTATATTTATACATATTTATTATAGGAGTCCCGCTCCACCAATACATGGCCCCCAAAACAGGTTTGGACACGGCCAGTATCAGCTGACCAGGTAGCTGACCTGTCTTCAAGCACTTATGCCAGCCAGGCGGCAGACGCAGTACAACCACAGATGTCGTGGAGCGATGTTGTGGGGAGCAGTCGTCAGTCGCCGTGGGGAACTGGTAAGTAGGATGGGTATGTACTCAAGAAATTGCAGGGTTATTAATTCTTTGCATATATGCATATTTGTTACTATCATCTTTTTTTTTTTGAAAATAGGGTTTACCAGAGAAAGATTATATTGTATACATGCACAATTTTTTATACCTCTCTAGGTTTGCCATCAACTCAGTATATGCACCCTGCTAGCCTGCAGCAGACGTACAGCAGTGTCCCACCAGGGGGCAGCAGAGGTAGCGCACAGGGGGCAGCACAGGCAGATGCAGGAGGTGCCAAACAACAGGTTGAGAGAAAACAGTCTGTCACTAATGTGTCCTCATGAGTAGGAAAATGTTGCAAATAGAATGCCATCATCTGTGCCATATGCTGATTAGTACAGAGAAGTTACAGCGTTTTTTACAAGCCCCATCTTGGAATGGTTAGTAAAAAAGGTTAACTACTAAACGGCTGATACAGATCACCAGAAAATCACGAACTGAAAGAAAGATGGGAGTGTTTGTTTTGTAAAAACAGATATTTCACCTTGTGTTGTAAATGTGTGTTACGTTCTGTGGCTTTTGAATCACACACTACGGTGAAAACTTCAAACAGAATTCGGCTGTTTTTCACAGATTGAAATTCTCATGTGAGCTTCCATGAAGTATTGATTTAAGTGTTATCCTTCTCCCAACTCTGACACCATTTACGTAAAAACGAACCAGTCGTACACAATTGAACTTTTTTTTTATTTTTTTGTGCATCATATATATATATATGAACCACATAAAAAGTATATGTCCAGTATTGTAGCTGTTGTCTATAGATATTACTCAAGCGCTGTAATGGGAAAAAAAGCAGTTGGGCCTTTCCTAAATATGCATGTCATAAATTTTTTCAAAATGTTTTAAAACACCTTTTCTTTGATAGCCATTTCATAAAATTATTTCTATCCCCCCTTCCACTTCAGCACTTCCCTCAATCACATACGCACAACCACTATGATATAAAATGCAAACATGCTTTAAAATGCAATGAATAGGATATAAGCCATTCCTCATTATTTCTAATTATCATGCTAAAATAAGAAATATATAGTTTCCATACCCCTTGTTAAATTATGAAACATTCTTAATTTTGAATGCTCAGTTGTGAAAGAAAACATTAGATAAAAACATACTAAGTACCTCAGTTGAATACCAGTTATCCAGTGGTTAAATGATTTTGCCAATTATCACATAGAGATATGCTAAAACAGTATTTCATCATTATATATCACTTCACCTTATAACATGGAATAATTCTGGACAATATGATTTTTAAAAAGTTAACTGGCAGTCAGACTTAACAGATAGACAGACAGCGAGATAAATTGACTGGAAAATTTAAAGTAATAACCTATTTTGACAGGTAGCATGACTTAAGGATTACCTTGGAGAGATATCATACCACTGAAATGTCAAGTGGTGATGTCATTTCCTAATTAGATAGTGAGTACATGTACCCAAGGGGGGAAACTGACACAGTCAGGGAATGCAATTAGGCAAAATGTATGGTATGATTTTAAAAGCTCGGTATTGTACATGCTACAACAGTCAAAAAAGGTTATTAATGTGATTACTTCTCCTGGGATTATTTGTTTGAAAACATGTCCAGTGGAAGTGACATGCAATGATCAAATTTGTTCAGGATTTGTTAGGTATAATTTATCAACTAATCGGTTGTCAGTGAGAAATATTGGGATAATACTCTTAACATGGGGAAGTTCTGCTCTTCCCATCACGTAAGGATGCAGAATTTTAACGGGGGGTATGTAATGAGTGCCGCAATACAGCTACATTGAGATCATCATTCAGTGTAGTGCAGAAATAAAAGATGTGTCACATTTTGTTTTCATGTGTTTCCCTTGTAAGTTGTGAATGCTGTGTCATTGATGATAATGCAGGATTTGAAGTAAAGATAATGCATGTTTTGAGGTTAAGGGATTACCACAGATGTAAACGTGTAAAAGGAAATACAATACTTAAAAGTGAAGTCTCGCCATATTTTTACTTTTATACCAGGTATAAGATTTAATGTTTGCATGTACCACTGTCATTATATAAGCAATAAAATCTGTTAATAGTAAATGTAGCATTTGTGCATCCACTATATATGTGGATTTAGGAAATATTTACTAGTTTCTTGAGAATTGTGAAGACTTACATAAGAACTTGTTTCAAATTGTTGGGTTTTTATTACAAGCTGTATTTACAATATTTTTAGCAGTATGTTATTGACCAAAAATCCAAAAGCAAAGGCACAAGTCCTGACATCTTAATTTCCAAAGTTTTTGCTCATGACAAGGGTTGTATCGTCCACACTGGTGCACAGTCATCACACAAATCTTTCGAGTGCTTGTCTGTGGTTTTACTTTTTCATTCAAAGTCATTTGTAGACACTCACATACGTGTACTTTCTGGTGCAAAGCCAACCAACTTTTCGGAACTTCAGAATTTGCATAATTTTGGGTTTGTGAACAAAATTCTTGTTCCCTGAAAATGGTTATTTCATGTTGTGATTTATTATAGTAGGTAATTACTGTATCACAATGCAGGGGTGTTTTTTCTTCTGTGAAATTGAGAAATATTGAATTTCTTTAGTTTATCAGCAATTAGGTAGAAATGCAATTTTGCACAGAATTGAGGTCAGTTGATTCTTTTTCCTCTCTTTATGAAGAAAACAATAAAAATAATTATTATTATTTGGAAGCATTCAGATATTTGTGCACAAATGGCTATCTAATCACATGAAAAAAGCACTGTTGCTTGAAGTTATTTCTGAAATGTATGTGGGAACCACCAAAATGAATTTTCACAGCCAACACTCCTATGAATTGTACTAATAATAGTAAATGTATTGTTACCAATACCTGCTACTGAAATTAGATATTTCAGTTTATTGTGTTTTTTAAGGAATGTTAAAGTAATGTCCTTGCCCTGTTGTTTATGATAAGTAGGTATAATGGTTATGAAATATAAATGGTGTATTCATTGAAAGCTTTTGAAATATCTGTGTAACTGCATGCCACAGTATTAAGTATTAATGACAAAAATAAAACATTACCATATTACACGGTGATTGTATTTATTTTCATAGCTCTGGAGTAGAAATTATCATTGTAAAGATCATCGTAAAGATGCTAATTCTGTCAGTATTGCTCAAAAGTTTTGGCATCTCCATCTCTTGATCCATTTTAAATCGGTAATAACTTGATAACTCGTTGCTTTTAATACTTGATCAGAAATGGTTGATAATATATTGAAACTTGGTTGGATCTGTTGGAGTTACACCCTTATAAAGTTAACTGTAATATGATTTCTATAAATACATTCTAAAAGCATTGACATTTGGGTCAGTCTGGTCCACTTTGTTTTCAAACTTGACAAATTATGCAATCCCAAAAATGAATTTGGTTATTTTTGAAAACACAAAGGCAGCTTCATGAAGAGAAAGGGAATGGGTAACAGAGGTTTTGCTCAACTTGCAAATCCTCTGTACTGAAGTAGACAAACAAGACTAATGGAAATGCATAAAATTAATTTTATTTATGATCCATTAAAAGGGCTTTATTTCCTAAGGGGCCATGTCACCTCAACAGGGATGTCAAGACACTTCCATCCACCAAGCAGCTTCAAAATTTTGATTACACTGCTGAGTTTCATCCTATGTCTCAAAATTCCTGAAGGAGGTACTGACTTCTTAGGTCATAAAGCTCCCATGAAAAATTAAGTACATATCACAGATAGTTCATTTCTATTATCTATATATCAATAGATGTTCACACGTTTCACCATTTTAAAATGTTCCGGAAGTTATAACTTTATGGTGATGCAGCCAAGACCCTCTTTACCTGGGTGATTTGAGACTGGGATAGGCCCATCTCCTTGGATTCCTGGAATTTGTAGAGAGACATTCTATTAAAAACTGACAAATGTCTTTTTTTTTTTATTTTACATATTAATTTTTTGTGTCACTAGTTCATTATTACATGTTTGGCCCATATCACCATTTTATTATTGTACTCATTCTTTACTGATATGGAATACAAAAGTGACAAATGCATAAGAAATAAAACTGAATTTAGGAAAAGTAAAATTGTGCTAAGATCAAAACTTGCATCTAAAAAAAAGAACAAAAAGAAGTAAACTTTTCCCTAAAAGATGAAAATTACACCATGTTGCTTAGGTTACTATTACTACATAAAAACTTTTTTTTATATTTAGAGAAAAAAAGAATTCATATGTGATCGGTTTGTTACAACACCCATTCAAACATGGCCTTCCTCTTAAAATATTAATAAAGCAAGTTTCTTGCCTTCTCAAACTGTTCCACAGTACCATATTTGCCAACAAAACCATTCAGCCTGGCAGCAGCATAAGACCTAATCAAACTCTGTCCCTCAAGACCCAGGGTGTCGAATAGTTTGAATTGCTGTCTCAGCAGGTACTTCTGGTGATAGCTAAAACAGTGTATGGTAATGATGGGGAAAACTGAATTTTACAGATACTGTTATGTACAGCATAACAAAACCATTCAGCCTGTTATGTAAGTCATAAATTTTTTTAATTAGAACACTCTTTTTGAGTGGTACCAACATAATTGAAAAGCAGGCTACTCTATAATTTATTTTATAAAGAAAAAGGCTATTTACAAAATTTTATATAAATTTAATGATTCCAAAAAATTGTGTTGGAAAGACTGATAATTTTTTGCCCTTTGAAAAGATTGAGTCATTGCTGTAAATAATGACCAGTAATTTTGTAGGTTTAAATATTTTGGTAACAGGAGAGCTCTGTAAACACACTTTTATCAGATTCAGGACAACAGAAAGGACCTCCCCCATCCATTTCTGATGTAATGTTAATATCTGCAAGAAACTGTGTGTTATTGTACTAATTTGCAATTCTAGCTCAATGTCTGAAACAAACATTTTACTGAAATGCAGATGGGATTTCTTAGTGTTATGGAGAAAGTTGCAGCAATGCCATTTTATCAGAGCTTCAAGGATCTCTCCATGAATATTCAAACTAACAAAAAAGGGTTTGCTATGTAAATCAATGCTGGTTTAACAATCATAAGAGATGTATATTAATAACAATTAGCATAATTATTATTATGATCAATTTACCATAACTGCTTTGCATCCTAGCTGTCTGAATTTTTTTTCTCAATGTGAATTGTAAACTATTTAGGCAACCTGATGTTGTTAAGATGGCAACAGGCTCATCAGCCCACCCCTCTCTCTCAGCCCTTACTCTTACATGTGCATATGTATGTATGTATGTATGTATGTATGTATGTATGTATTGTAATGTAATATTAACACACACACACACACACACACACACACACACCATAACTTACTTTTCTGCCTCAAAAAACTCAGTTGCGGGCAAAATCTTTGTGGCAATTTTTCTTGCCATATGTTTCTGCTGTTCCTCCATGCTCTTCTCGGCCAGCGCCTTCTGCTCAGAGTCATGATAAAAGATTGCTGACATGTACTGGTTAGTGGTATTGGTGGTAGGGTCATGCCCTTTCCAAAACAAGGCAAGGAGTTCCTCATATGAAATCTGTGCAGGATTGTAATCCAAGTCCACTGTTTCTGTATGATCTCCCCTAAAGAAAATTTAGAAGACCTTTCTTGTGCTGAATAGTGAAAAAGTATTTTTAGATGAGATCCTAGAAAGGGTGATTTAAGTTCTATGTCATATATAACTGACCTTTGTTTTTGTATATAAACAAGAATATTTTGAACAGAATATTCTGAAAAAGAAATTTATGAAGATATAATATTAAGATAATCCTTCTCAAACAATTTAAAATATGCGCTATACATTTAATACATACTTGTTAAAACACTTGGATTGAAAATGAAGACTGCTTCCTATATTTTGCCCATTTCAATGCATCACTTTTATTTGTTATCTATAATATGTGTAACTACCTTCTCACCTCTTCAGGACTGTCTCCCGGGACCTGGCCAATCTACTCCCACCCCCTTTTAAAACTAAACCCATTTTGATAAACAAGCATGGTAGATTAAAAATCTTAATTCATTTCATTTTACAATTAACCAAGCTTTAATATTCTTACAACTCATTTTTAAATACAAACTAAAATTAATCATAATTCTACCAGACTCTCTAAGAATACAAGTAATATAATATTATATACCCTTCTGCATCTCAAAACTTGTATTGGGGTAATTCTTGATTGAAAAAAATTAATCACACCAGTGTCACATATGTACTTACATTTTCCTGTAAGTAGGGGATGGTGTGGATCCCCCAGTATAGCCCACACGTGTGTGGACCACCCCCGGGACACAGCCAAACTGTGCCTCGGGGAACCAAAATCATCTCAGGGCAAAAGTGGCCCTCTTTGTGGCCACGGCTGGCTCCATCAAGGGCATGGTGCCTGGTGAGATGAAATGTCAATTTTACAAGTTCAGTTTACAAAGTGATCTGCAAGCAAGCACTATATATATATATATATATATATATATATATATATATATATATATATATATAGGAGTTTGCACATACCATCTAGCTTCTACCGTAAATAAAGACAAAAATAATGATAAATAAATAAAATACCTCAAATTTGGTTATCCTTATTTAATTTTATATATTATCAAATGTGCCAATAACAGTTTAATGGGGATTAATTGAAGAAATGTGGTGGAAATACTCTTAAGCTTACTACATTTACGTACAAAAATATGAAAGCCTACAATTATTAAGCAGCGTCATGACTGGTGACTAAAACTGCATAACGAATTTGATTAGCATACCCTGTTATCATAGTCATTTATCATCAAAGCTGAATTTAGGGGGGAAATACGCCAAAATCAAAGATTTACATGTCCTGGTACTCTTGAACGGGTACACATATTAATTAAGCACCTGTAACCTGTACGTCTTACCTGCCAATCCAAGTTACACTTAACGAATAGCACAATCCGAAGATCTCCGAAGAGGTGAGTAAACTTATCAGGCAATGTTAAAATGCAGTGAGTCCACTAGATACACTAGATAGAAGACAAGCAATGTTTACACAGCTCCAGGGTCAAGTGACACCTGGCCAATTTCACGGTCAAAAGAGGGGTCTCGCCCACAGCGCGTCTGTAGCCCGTGTTGATGACATTTAGTTCAGCAAAATTTTGTTACACAATTGGATTGTGCCAGGTGGCCTGATTGCGTTACAGTAGCACCGCAGGTGCAATGAGTCATAACGCACGCCTTATGAGGGTAATGCATACCTTTCGCGTTCCGCGTGATTGGCATTATTTTTCGAGCTTGATGCGTTCTTTGAGCCCAATATTCTGCGTGAAACGTGATTCAGGAATTCTTAATTGGTGATTGACCTGAATATATTTTGGTGATTGGTGATGGAGCTGTTTTAATCTTGGTGATTGGTGATTAAGGGGGAGGGGGTATTCCCCCATCTATATGTCATCTATTGGCCTCCTGCGTAGATCTATCATCTAGTTACATGCTATTTCGTAGTTTTTATTGTAAGCGGCTAAGGATTAGTTCACTTACCATGAGTTTGGCCCATGATAAATCGGTCAACCCGTGTGCTTTTCTTGGCGTTGGCACAGCACAGAACGTGAAACCCATTGGCATAAAAACGAGGAAATCACAATCAGTACCCACTACTGGTACGAGTACGACTGCTTCTCTACGCTTCAACAAAGTTGCTTTATATCTGTATTTCTGTTCTTGAAAGCAAATCAGGTTACGTAGAACAGTTGCTGAACGAAAGGCGCAACATGAAAGAATTACTCCAGAACTGAAGTGCCAAATCGCCCCCACCGAGGTCACTATTAAAAGGTGTCATTTTCCTTCGTTTAAAGGGATAATAACTCTTCGTTTTGGCCAAAAAATGAATTTTCCTGGAGTAAAGAACAATTTTCCCATACTTACCAATGGTTAATGAATCCAGTTTTTACATTCAAAGTTAGTCCCTGGTTTTTTTCTAAAAAGTTCTTTTTTTCGTTATAATCTCTTAAGAGATTATAACAGAGTATAGCCATCTATGGAGGTCACATGGTCTAAAGACAAGCTCAGATATCAGAATAATAGCTATAACTGCCGTTTTTGTGGTACAACAGAATATATTATATTTCTATGCGTTGTTCACAATGTTTTTATTGTGAAATAGATCTCATACGAAGAGTTATTTTCCCTTTAACATTGCTATGCAAAATGGTTGTTTCTTCGCTGACTTAAACCTCATCGCGACGGGCTAACTAAAACAATTTTAAGTCTCGACAGAGGACGTTTCATTGCAAACGAGGGGGACAACAAGAAAGCAGATCTAGAACTACGCCAAGGAAAGGTCATTTTAATAGGAGTTTTAAAAAACTCCTTACTTTGGATGAAATGAGAAAGACAAAAATAGACACCGTCAAATGCCAATTAAAAATACAACAAAAAGCCCTTTTTTAAAAAAAGAAAAAAAAAGCACATTAATTCAGAAAAAAATACTTAAAGATGGAAATGTATTAATATATTTTGTGTGGTAAATCAGCTATATTACTGAAATGGCACGTAGAAATCGTGCATATTGCTCCATAAGGACGCTTTTGGTCCAAGCGAATTTTACATGTGTCATGAGTATTTATCTTATAATACATGCCACAGACAGAGATATACATAATTTATTATCAGAGAGAATACAGTTACAATTGTTCATATAATATCTAGGAACATAAATACCCCAGATTATCTGGGGATTGAGAAGGTGTAGTGTACATGTATCATGCGACTCGTGGTCATGAGTCAAAGCATTCATAATTCATGATTTAGAGACAATGAAGATAGTTAAAGTTCAAGACAATAAGGGTAGTTTAAGTTATTCAGACGGTCAGTATTATATTACAGTATATCTTGAGTAATAATCTTAAATAACTGTTATTTAATTCATACGGTCAGTATATGATTATCTGGGTTACAATCTCAAGAGTTATCTTACATGCAATGTTGTACACTATATAAGAAGGTCAGTAAAAGCAGAAGATCATCGATAAGCTGCATAACCGAGGAGATCTCTTGTTGTGGCGTGTATTATAAGATAATTACTCATGACACATGTACAAATTAGAAAAAGTTTCATAAGCCCGTGTTCATATTATTGTGATAAACATACGTCTTAAAAAGACACATAGCATGCGGTTGATGGCACTTAATATATCATGAAGTATTCACAGATTGCGGTGGTATTTCAGTCGATAATTATATCGGTGCAGTCTGAGTCGAGTTTGTAATCAAATTAGAAACTTTAAAACCTGTAAAAATCTGAGCAACCGTCCCCCTGTAGTTACTCATGATCATTTTTGTAATTAATGAAATGTTGTCTCTTGCAAATGATATAGTTGCAGTTGGTATAGACAGAAGACAAGGCTACTCTCGCTATATCATGTAGCAATGGATTTTTCTTCTTTAAATGTATTGATTGTATATTTCGGTTTGAAGTTGGCATTTTTGAATAACGTTTTGATAATGACTAACTTAGCAATAAAATATTAGTCATCTTGCCTTGTTATTGACGAGATGGATTGATGAACACTTTTTTGTATTGAATATTGGCCTATTTATCAAATGTGCTGTGTGATACTATGTCCTACTTGTAAAATTATGTCATAAACAGAAGCGGATTTAGGCCGTCTTCTGGGTCTTCCGGAAGACGGTCAGATTTTCAAGTTTACATGGACGGGTATCTAATTTTTTTCTGTCGGAAGACGGTCAAAAATGAGGATGGATCAACAGAGATAATTAGGAAGAATGTCAGAAAATATCTCTGGATCCGCCCCCGATAAATGCATTTTCTTTGTGTGATGATTATACCTGCAGCCTGAAGGGTTCTTGCCTTTGGGCCAAGGGGTATTCATGTTCTTAGATATGTTCTTGCCAGACCCAGCCGACTGTTTGGGCACGGTTTTGTGTACATAGCTAGTAAATAAAAAACAACGTTTTTGTTACGTTTTTAATAGATTAAATAAAATGATCANTAACCCCCCCCCACTAACCGCCAATGGAACTAGAAAGTATTCTTTCATTTGAGAATCATCTGCTTTTACTCGTGCTTCTGCAGTTTACGGGATAAAAAAGAACTCATAAATTCTTTTATCACCGAGCGGTACACTTATATTAAAGACCTCCAATGTAGAATTTAAAACGGATTCTATATGCATGGATCGCTTCTTGTTGAACTTATCTGAGAGCAATTTTAATTAAACTTTTTAAACATAAAATGACAGATAAATGGCCTTAAAATAATCATATTCACCGTTCCCTGCCAACCTGCAACCTCGGTAGTGGTTTTAAGCTTGACACAGTTTAAAAGTAGCGCGCTTCACGGCACGATATCTGGAAATTGAGTAATAGCTTGAATGTGCGAATGGCGTATCTGAAAAACCTCTGCTTGATCGCAGGTTTTGATATTTGTTTTTTTCGAAAATTTTTACAGAGTTATGGTGAGTGTCAGGAAAGGAAGATTAAAGATTGGATAATGGGGGGGGGGGTGTGTGTGTGTGTGTGTGTGTGTGAGCCGTTTACCCTGGGATAATTAGTAGAATATGAGTTTTGGTATAAAAATCCTTCTTTGGATATACCTTCAATTGATTCGGTGTACAGTTGAACTTCCATATCAACTGGGAATAAAATAGAATTAAAGACCAGTCGTTGTGAGACATGGCTTTTCTCAAACATTGGTTACATTTAGAAATTTAGAGAAACGATCGTCCAAGTTTGAAAGACTCATTGACACCTTTTAAGCATTTTTTTTTTTTTTTTTTTTTGGTGAAATAACATTTTTTTATCTTTTTGCAGAACGCGGACTTTTTTGTTTGGAACTTTATGATTAGGCTAGGGGTAGAAGGTACCCTGGACTGATTGGATAACATTTGCAATTGAGTAGCAGTGAGGGACTTTGACAGCAGAAACTCAACGTAACATTGAAGCAGCTGAAATGTGGTTCTACAGGCGAATGCTCCGAATCTCCTACATTGAGCATGTTACAAATGAAGAGGTCCTTAAACAGATTGATCAAAAAAGACAGCTTCTCAACACTGTCAGAGAAAGACAACTGAAGTTCTTGGGACATTGCATCAGAAAAGAGGGATTAGAAGATCTTAGCCTGAGCGGAAGAATACCTGGCAAAAGTGCCCGAGGCAGACATCGAAAATCCTTTCTTGACAATTTTGACTTACCAACAAGACACCTTTGGTCATGGGCGAGAAATAGAACCCTTTGGCCGAATATCATCGTTCGTCAAACACCGAATCGGTGATGGCACATGAAGAAGAAGAAGTAGTGGGGGATAAGTCAATTATTAAACTGTTGTTTGATCAATTCATTCTATGTGGTACATTATGGTGTTATATTTTAAACAAACACTATGATTGAGATAAGTTTAATTCAAAATTTACCGCATTTTGATAATTCACAACAATAAAACTGTAGAACATGCCTTACGTGTCTTTAAAGGCGTTAGTTCTAAGGTTTAAGGGCGCTTAACATTGTTGATACTTGTCTATTTGCGGACAAGTGAACAAATAATTTTGTACTGCCTTTTTTACATATTCCTTTTTAAGAATGTCCACCATTCATGTACTAGATATGGGGATGAAGATGCCACCTGGTATGCAGTTTATTTTTGTGTGTCGAGAATAAGTGAGACCCCGAGAGCCCGTTCCATCTATTTTGACATATTCTACGCCGCCACATTTTTTGATCTTGCTCAGGGCTTTGCGGAATATTTCAACTTCGTCAAAAAAATTTTGCCCTTGATGCTTTAGAGTCTCTTTGAATTTAGCCAAAAAATGGCGATACAAATAATAGTCTGCTTTGCTCCACTTTTGGTGTGTCAACAAAAAAGACGACTTGGCAACGGTCTTTGGTTCAAACGTGTACGATCCGACATTTCCCGGCACGTACAACACATTTTCCATTTCCCAACACAAAAGACGCCTCAGGTAAATCAAACTTTCGTCAAAATACTCCGTAACAAGCACAAAATCGAACTTGGAATCGAGGTAATGAACGTAATGTTCAATGAAGGGTTCGTTATCTCTAAGATCTTCTCTCTCGTCTGGAAACCCAAATTCGGACATCATACTGTTTCTGGCGTATGTCGCTCTATCTCTTTGCCGCACGTGTTGTTTCCAGTACGCTTCTGGGGCACTGAGAAATTCGTCAATTTGGACATTAAATTTAGTCCACAAAGAAAATGAGTTGTAGGCACTCGTGAACTGAGAAAAAGGTTCTCGGACAACTCCGACATAAAACGAATCTAACGGCATCATACTACTGACGACATCGTAGTCAAATACCATATGATCCACAATCATATCATATGTCATTCTGGGTTTGTAGAGGGCATCTTCCTTGGTGATCCGCCTCGGGCGGAGCGGTTTTGTCGGATAAAAATGCCCTTTAGCTTTCGGCTTCAGGATGTTCAGATCGTATTTGAGCGCGAAACGCTTCATAATATGATGAAATGTGGTTGAAAAGCACTTGGTAGTTTTTAGATAGACGATGTGCTTTCGAGGCTCGCATGCCGTGATGTTCCTTGGTTCATTATACCGCAAAGGGAATACTTGAGAACTAGAGTTCATATTCTGTTTACTGGGCCATGCATCTGCGTCTCTTGATACAGGAAACACATTACTATCATACAGATACCCTCTGTATAGTCCTTGAGTGAATGAAAAAAAAGTACATAATAATTTTTTGTTCACAAGGGTGATCTCACATGAAAGACTGCAGACACAATTTCTCCGAGAGAGAGAGAGAGAGAGAGAGAGAGAGAGATTGAGAGAGATTGAGGGGGGAGGGGAGGGAGAGAGAATCCTATTTTGTTGAAAAATAGTTAATTGAAAGTCTGAAAACAACAACTGAAAATCTGAAAATCCTCTAATTCTTAAGCTATCTGCATAAAAAAATCATATTTTGTTGAAATATAGTCAATTGAAAGTCTAAAAACAACAACTTAAAATCTGAAAATCCTTTAATTCTTAAGCTATCTGCATATCATCTGGTAAAATATCATAATAGAGTATATCAAAAGTCTGTTTGCAGTAAATAAGGTGTTACTTACCTTGTGCATGTGTCCTAATATAAAAAAAGCGTAAAACTAAGATAAAGTATCCTGTCAATGCAAATAAAGTAAAAATATAAATCAGTCGAAGACCACGCATTGCATCTGCTCTGAGTAAACCTTGTTTTCAGTCTCGTGTAGGTAGTTGGTGTGGCACACGATAGCGCATGCTCAAGATGATGTAAGCCATCTGTTGCACAGAAACCACCTTGATGAATTATATAATAAATCATACGCAGGCAAAAATAAATAAATAAATAAATAAGTTAAAATAAAATAAAATAAAATAAAAAATTGCGTGTATCTAACGTGGTTCATGGTACAGAAAAACAAAACACCTGTGAAGGTTTTTAGATTTATCACTTATCATACACCAACTCAAATATGATATTCTACAGTGGTTTCCACAAGTGAAAAAGTTCATTTTATTGAAATAACAGCACCAAATTTCACGAGACAAAAACCGTGTGTCGACCACAGGCGGCGAAGCACATGCTTTAAGCTACGTTGTTGGATCCCAAATATGTTTTGAAGGGCGTTGTTCCATTCTTCTTGTAGAGTTTGAAGGGGTTTCTCTAGATTATTTAGAGGGTTTTTCTATTCTCCTGTGCGTCTATTCATATTCGTCTTACTGTTGATCCGTAGGACTAGAGTTGGTATCAGGCCACAAAGATTGCTCTTCCATCTCGAGATCATTGCTTCTCTGAAACCCCTAATCAGACGAGAACCGCGAGTCATGATGAAACCTGTAGTTGCCTATTTATATGTCGCCTCTTGCAATCTGGTCGTTTTGCAACCCCACAAAATTTATTTATTCGTAGGTTATCAAACTATATATTGTGTTTGTACCCTGGCCAAATTGCATACAAAAGTGCGACTGGTTGCATCAGTTGAGGCAGGTTCCTAATGCGATGGCATCAGTTTAGAGGGCGTATTTCAAATCTAGTATTGCTGTATTTGGCGTGGTTCGCACATAATAAAGAAGCCGTGCGTGTTTGAGAACCCGACACGGAACTGGGAGTTTGTTTTATACTAAGATTAATTTTGGCTTTACCCTTGATATTAAAGAGGCGTGTTTTAGTTTTAGCGAAACCCTAAGAAGAGAGGGAAAAAACATTCAAATGTGTAGTTACTGGTGCGATTTCCATATAAGCAATTGCAGCGATGGGAATTTTGAATAAAACATATTTTGCGAATAATTCCACCGAGATGATATCATTTTTTTTCTGCTGAACACGGTTAACAGGTGGTAGGACGTGCTGATTTACCGGAAAAAGCTACTGCATCAATTCAAGTTCGTTGGCTTTCATCGACAGGCCTGCTCGGAAAGTTTCTAGTTAGATGACTTCAGATGCTTTTATTTTCATTTTGTTTTGCACCGAGATAACGTTTGCTTTCACCTTTGACGATATACAGCACGATGAGGTCCACAGCTGTTCACACCTGGGCGGTTTTGGTATTGAGCAGTCTTTCTTCTTTCAAATGTCGACTGCGGACTTGCCCCGGGTACTGTATGAACATATGAACAGTTTTGAGAAGCAAGGGTGCAAGAAAGGATAAGAGGGTCATGAAAAGACACAATGCGTTCTTGTTAAAAGCAATAGAGGCGACGCGACTTTTGTTAAACAATAGAAATTTTCTCTCTGATAATCCTTCCGAGAAGAAAGCACATTATGATGAAAAAAAGTACATACGGTGTACGAATTTGCTCAATTTAAGTACGAGATCTGTGGCACCAATCTAAGTACTTTTAACTGAAGAGAAAGGAAATATCATTGACGACGCAGAGTTTATTCTTATGACCAGCAATATGCTCGCCTTAATGTAAACTTTCTAAAGTATACCGTGTTTTTATGCAAAAGGTAATTTGCTAGGACCTACGAGAGCCCAGATTCGTTCTCGTGCCATCCCGATTCAAGGTCCCGGTCGTTGTCGTGATGGACTGTCGTGCCTCATCCGGGATTCGAACTCGTGACTTTGCGTTGCCACGGTTGATTGCGCTTTGGGTACCTCATTTGCACCCAAACACGCTACCGACTGCGCCGTGACAGACCCGCCCACCCTCCATACGTACGAGTTTCCTCCTATAGTTACCTATCGGAATTTTACAGATCTGGAAAAAAAATTACGATATCTGCTGGGTCTCGAACCAGCGTACCAGCGTCTGTCAACACAAGAGACAGCCAAGTTACCACGGAGCCACGTCAGCTTCGTCGATAAGGAAAGATCGGATGGAAACTTTCAACCTTGCCACGGACATGTCCAGGTTGGATGTACATCTGTATATCTGCTTTCCCGATCGATAATCCGCGCGCCGCATTTCATCCCACGCAACCCCAGTCCCCGTCCACGGTTTATCATGAACGGTAAAATTCATGATGTACAGGGAGCCGTGCGTGTTTGAGAACCCAACACGGAACTGGGAGTTTGTTTTATACTAAGATTAATTTTGGCTTTACCCATGATATTCATACTCGCACATACGTACACTGTTGTACGTCTTGCGACGTAGAAGGGGGAGTAGAAGGAATCTCTAAAACAATGAAAAAAAACCTCGAAAATATGAAATATCGGCGTTTATATTTTTTCGTTGCAATGTATAAGCAGAGACAAATCAAAGCTTTTATCGCCGATTTGACACCTTTCTATTTTGAGGTGAGATTGCAATCTGTATGGTGCTTAACTTCATCCCTGAACAAGATTTTACCACAAAAATGGGCATATTTGACCAGGAAAGTATAGGTTACAATTCCTTGCCGTCAGTTTGGTTTAAATGTTTTCGTTCTGAATAGAAGGTATAAGTCCCTAATTACAGATTTTTATTAAACTAAGGCATTATTTTGCTTTATCAACGATTAAAAACTTAACTTATACCTATAAGAAAAATCGCTGGCAGGGTTTTGGAGTACTTAAATTAAGGTGTCATTAAATTTGCTTTAAAACGGCGATCGTGGGTGCTCAGGTAAAAGAGAAATTTGAGAAACCGATTTTTCCGTTGTTACCCCATAATTGCAATAATGACGTCACTCGTAAGATGACATATGTGTAAATGTTTATTAATTTAGTCACTGAGCACTGAAGATTTATTTATTACCCAAAAGAATGTATGTAAGGCAGTAAATAAGGAGTTGCAAGTGTTAGCACTCTTTGTGGATGAATACTTCGGGCAAAAATATCATCAAACACAAAGCATATAATATGTATATCTAACGTCGGCAATAAGTGCTAGACACTAAAGAGGTTCTACACGGTCGACGCCAATGCACGCCGAATGTTGCCTACCAGTGCATGACCGCTACGGTAATTTACTTCAATGTTTATTTGAAGACCGTGGCTACTGAAGTAGTACCATATCTTTTCTCAAACAGGACATGTGAACTGTTAGAATATAGTCGAGATAGGCATATATCAGTGTTCATTCTAATTTCTATACTCGAATGGCAGAAAAATCTGGATTAGACCAAAAGTGTGTCAGCTGGGGTAAGCTTGATTTTCTTTCTCAGTTGTAACTTCTATTTAAGTCTACTACCACCTGGAAGATGACGTTTAATTTTAAGTCTTTCAACCAAAACTATATATATATATATATATATATATATATATATATATATATATATATATATATATATATAATAAACCCCCTTGAATCAGTCGCTGAAACGGTTGAAATTCCTCCCCGGTTTCAGGCAGAACATCATGGTATTACATTGAGTATATTGCATTTGGTATTTAAACAGTTTGAGAAAACCGTAACTTTGAATTCCCATACTCATTTTATTATATATGCATTTGTACATTTGCTTTATATATACAGCAGGCATAATAACGAACAGCTCTAAACATTACCTAGAAAGTGGATCCATACCATACATCATCATTTGGTACATGTGTGTTAATTGCTGCTTAACGGTTTAAAGGTACTATAAGAAGCGAAAGCTATTAATAGATGAGGCTGGAATGATGATTTAGTTTCACCTGAACGCTCCCTTTACATGTAAGAACTCATGAGAATGAATAACAGCAGGTGCCGCCCTCCGAACTGAGACCGCGTTTATCACCCATATCACCGCGTAATATTGAAGGCGAAAAAGCGAGGCAAAAGAGCAGGTGCCTCAAATAGCTTCCGATACATCACTTTCCACAACGTTTTAAAGAACGGAAAGAAGATCCATTGGGACTTTGAGGGAGAGTGGGTATCATAAACAGCGCCACCAGTTAACCTTTTCTCAATATCATATTGTCTCTTCTGTCTACAGTCTTAATCAATCAATACTAATTAAGAGATACTTGTAAATATATCTGAATATATATATATATATATATATATATATATATATATATATATATATATATATATAACGAAAAGCTAGCCATTTGTGACCGTCAGATGTGAACGGAATTACCCGAGTGCTGCCACGCTGGTCACGTGACTTACACAATTTTACTTTTTTGTTTGGTTTGATATATGTTTTAACTATACTTCAATTTATTATAAATCCACAAAAGTTGCACCATAACCACTCTCGCTCTCAACACCCCTGCAACCTATGGTTTCAATTAAAAATTAAAATAGATTTAACAATTATATCTAAAGAGACGAAGTTTTGATGATTGTAAATTAAAATGAGTTCTGTTTTTTGTTGGTTTTGTGAGGGGGATATCACCCATTTAGCTGTTGGAAGCAGCTTTTTGTTTTAACAAAAACACATGCACAGTTATTCTACACTCATTTGGATCGATTACAAAACAATAAATATGTCCACATGGTTCACGTGTGCGGGATATTTTCATCCAACATCAACAAAAAATACACTCCCATGAACTTGAGAGCATTAAACATCTAAATGCAGCTTTTGCGAGACCACAACTAATTTTCAAAATCTGTGCTTGTCAATTAATACAGTATATATTATTCATTCATATTATTGATTATTTTTATTTTTTACCTGTAAACTGTCCCCAAATTTGAAAAATTCTGGTCCCACTTCGTCCTTTAATATGAAGATTTTTCTTTCCTTTTTTTTAATAAGCAAGAAAAATAACCGGTCACGGAGTTTGTATAAACAAAGTGTTCTGCCAACGAAACATCTGATATGTCTTACCGCCTAGCCCATTGTTTGTGAGTGACTCCAGAAAGCGAATATTTAGCCCAGCTAGTAGATCGAGAAGTGCTGGAACAGAAGCAGTGTCTGGCATCTCTTAACTTGGAGGAGCCCGTTGCCATGAGTAGTTAGGCAACTGGCGTCGATTCACCTATATATCCCTATATCTCTATATCTGTATGCAGTGTATCAGAAGACGTTATATTGCGCTTGCTAAAACTCTGTTGCTGAAAATGGAAAGGTGTACAGGTAGTAGTTAAAGTAATTTTAAATATAGATCTACAAATCGAGAGAAAAGACAGTAGGGAACTCAGTTGAAAGCTAGGATTGGATTGTAATGTGAGTATCTCGTGCTTGGAAATCATATGCTGGATTTAGTTCTGTTAAGCATCCTAATAATCTGATTTCATTCAAAAGACGTGTATAATTAAAAATGGTAGTACATGTATTAACACGCCTGTTCATAATGGCATTTTACGCAATATGGAATGCACGCAATTGTTCACTTAAGTAATAAAACCAACCGTAAAACCAAGTTAACTTAAAGAAAGATATCACACACACTCACACACACAGTCCACACACAATAGTCTACAACACACAAACATCTTTTGGTTTTATTATTATTATTATTATTTTTGAATCCTCATAGGCCAATGACCAGTAAGTACCACAACATTGTTCACAGGTCCGGAAAATTCTTCCAGTCCACTTTTCACGCCAATGTATATTTAGCCTAGGGGCCCATTTAACCGCGGGCACTCAATGCAATAGACGCATCCTCCAATGTTCGAACATGTAGGCTGCTCCAAGACTCGTGGTTTGTCTGGTGCTCCACATAAAATTTCTTCTCTAAATTTGTTCGTTCCCTTTTAGCTTCCAGACCCCTTGTTTGTAACGAAGCATATGTCGTCGGAGGGCACAACGCAGGCGAAATGACACAGCACCACAGAATAACACTGGAAATGGAAGACCTTGAGAAAGAAGAGAAAGAAGAGGGCGGTTCGGGTATTCCACGTGGTATGTTACATTACCTTAGTATTGTGCGATAGCCGTCACCACTGAGCGTAGTAGTAGTTGCCGTAGAGTAGTAGTTGGGTAGAGGAGAGTCACACACGTTTCTTGGTGAGACTTCCAGGGTAATGATTATTCTAGGGCTTACTGATTGATCTAGGGAGGAATGAGCCCAGAGTTTTTATCCAGAGAGGCACATATGCCTACATTGTATCTACTTAGTCATTGACTACCGTTTGTTACTAATTTTTGTTCCTTTGTTTAACTGCGGGATTTTCTTTCCGTTGCTCCAATGGATACCTTTTTCTCTTGCAACCTCTGAAGACGTGGAAGACAAGAATAATTCAGTACCACAGATATTATTACAGAATCCCCCATACTGCAGTCCTTCTAGATAAGCAAAGTGATGTATTCAGCAGCGTTTACCCCTCGGCGATATTACATACTCAAGAAAACCAAAAGCCAAGTCAGAGACGCCGGTACCTTTCATCCCCTCTCTGCTAAGTGTATTTCAGCATTTGCATTGCCTGATGTCAGTGTCCTGTACCAGCATTACTAATTACCGTTCCGTATAAACACTGGGGAACATGTACATATACAATGTAGCCGCCAACGAGTTTACATCAAAAAGCAATTATTTTTCGTTCCACGTGTACGATAATCACCCCGAGTATCAGACTATGTTAATTCACCTCTGACAAGAGACTCCGACGTATATGCTGAGTAGGCGGGGGGGGGGGGTCACATTTATAAGTATGAAAGTTACACAGGTTGATGACACTTAACGGTGGCTCTGGATCTGTTATGACGCACACTCTTAAAAAAATAAAAGCTAATCATAGGCATGTTTATTTGGAGGTACGTTTGGCGCATTTTTCATCGGATTCTACGGATATAGTTTTGCATTAGAAATTTCACAGCACGACAAGAGGACATCGTAGTTTAGGTTACCGCGCAGATGGTTTGAGATGCTATCAACAGTTTTTTTTCTTGACAGTTGAACTAATACCGGTTAAACCATGTGAAGTTTTAAGAAGTCTTGCAGAAGACTTTTTCCACCTTTCCTCTACATGCTGTACCTTTGGGAGGTGGAGTTTGATATCCTGACTTCTTTTAATTAATTATGGCGGTGGCAATGATAAAAGGCTTCGTATGCTTTCGAGAAATAGTGAAATGCGTCATGTTGTCAGTAATCAGTTTTTTCTAGCTATGAATTAGAACCATATGGTGGATAAACAGTGCCTCGAATGGCCAACTGCCTTTCAAAATGTTATGATGTTATATACCACTGTTTCTTAATTGTTTTAATTTCGTAATTCACAACATAATAGGGGTAAGAAAATAAACTTGTTTAGGCTTTTCCTAATGTCCACATATCACATGAAGAAAAAAAATAACCGAAAAATTCATCCCTCTTCTTCTCATCAAGGAAGGGGACAATTGTACTTACATATCGGTTATTATGAAGTGATGGACTTCTCATCGCGCTAAAACTGACCCCCAATTGTTACCGGAAAATACAAAGCAATTAAGCAACCCTTAAATTGCCTTCAGCCAATTATAGAAAATAAGTCCTAGCATATTTTTGCGCAACATCTCATTGTTTGTGGGTCAGTAAAGTAGGTATGCTGATATTTTACAAGTACTGAATCATTATTCAAAAAAATTTAAAAATCATTTAATCTAACCCTCAATAACTGCACCGTTAAGTAAACTGTTCGATGCAGATGATAACTGTGGCTGTTCAGTCTAAACAGTTTCAGCTATTTATATCAAATGTTGTGCTGGGGGGCTTCAGGTTGGTAGATATAAAGCGGGTACCCATCCTATGAAAGCTATAGGTGCGATTCAAAGCTGGGGAAAAGTTCTCGAAAACTTCAAAGGTTTAATTCTGACTAGAGGCTATGGAGATGACCAGAAAAGGTCTGTGTGTTCAAATTCTATTATTATTATTATTTTATTCTTTAGATAAATATAAATAACTTAAACTGTGTATTTTTGTAGTTAATGAGAACCACCTAGAACAGTACATTTAAAGGCACTGCTAGGTAGCTAGCTCTTTGTTTGTTTTAAATTAGCGTTACTGATGTCATTGACTAAGACTCTGAATAATAAAGATCTATGTAAAACTAATTTCAAGACTCAAATTTTCACTTCAGAGCTCGATTTCCTACCTTACTTCCATACCTTTTTTGTTTACCCACTTTCACTGACGAATGCACAGACAGATTAACGATGACCGTTCACCTATTTCAGGGGAGGATAGATGTCCATCCGTATATTGCAGTTAATAAGTAAAAATATATATATTTCGTATTTTACTGCATAGCATCAGCACCTGAACAAGATACCCGAACCAGCCCTTGAAACGTGTATCTAAATTGTTTATGTAGGCCCTATACATATACAAAACTAGCATATACAAAACTGGCATAACATTACCAGACGTGTCATAGATATTTGATCTAGGAGAAGGAGGAAGAGGAAGGTGGCACTGTGTAATACAGTATCATTTTATATATTTTATGATCTTTTATAGCTTCACAACTTTGTGTGTTGCTTAGATTAAAAAATCATATGTTCCACCATTCTTTCCCCAGGGCACAGCTCACCCGATCTCGAACTCCACACCATCCACGCGCCGCCAGGGGCGCTGGGCAATCTGGCCCGCAACCGACAGCGACGACTTCCACGCCAAAGACTTCAGGCCTACTGGACGTTGCCATCGGTACTGCAGGGGGTTCTCCGGAGTTTTCGAAGCAAAAAGAACACAGCCAGAAGGTCAATGAGGAACCCAGAGGTACCCACATCATTTAAAGAAACACGGAACGTTGGTGAGGAGTTTTATAGTTATGCTGCCACACGGGATCTTGTTGACGGACGCTGCACAAACACTTGCTGTCTAGGGGTAAGTCATGTTTGAATGATTTAAAAAGTACTTTAAAAGGTATAAACCTTGAACTATAATTTTGTGAATAACTTATGCAATAACTACGCTTAATTGGTGAATTATGCATATTACGTGCAAACAACGCAAAGTTATGAAGACCCGCATCCAAGAATGCAGAGGGTACACGTTGGTTTATGAAAATGAACGTGATGAAGGCTAAGATATAACGTATATCTTTTGATATTCCGTATTTCAGTAAGTCATTTTATAAATTCAATAATCTTCGAAATGCAATATGAAAAATTATACTTAAAATACAAAAATCTTTACCCAGGTGGTCCGAAATATTCCCTCGGTGATTATAAACACGCCATGCTGCTGCGTGGATCTGTGGCAGAACTGCAGTTGCTATTGCTTCGCCAGAATCTTCGGCATCAAGTCGGCCGCCAAGCACATCACACCCAAGTGCAAGTTCTGCGTCTCTTTAGAAGGAGAAGGCGAGTACAATACAGAGTCCATATTGATTGAGTTCACCAAGCTGTGGCCGTCCGCCGATGTCTCTCTTGGTACAGACGAGGAGATGAACTATCGCCTCCGTATTCAGTGGGAAATGGAACGCTTCCGCTCAAAGACGGACCCCAGAGCCGTTACGAGGCTAGAGAAGGAAATCCTGGAGTTGTGCACCAAGAACTATGCCAACCGGCTACAAATAGTCTGTGACGAAGCGTTAAATTTCTTTCTGGATGCCAACAGAAGTTGGTACCGGAAGGGCCTCACCCCTCTTCACATAGCACTCCTTCACAATAGCACCGAAGTGGCTATAATCTTGATTGAGCGATTGGGAAAGGCATTGCTCTTCAAGGAGATGGCGGGTAGTTACACAGGAGCCACCGCGTTGCACATCGCCACGGCAAACGGAAACTTCAAAGCAATGGAAGCCATGTTCTACCATCTGGCTGAGGCCGACATTCTGAAACTTCTTCGTAAATGTGCTACCGGGGAGCAGTTCAAGAGGACTTTGGTTCCCGCCGAACTTCCCTTGTCACTTGCTGTGCTGTCTGGCAATGCTCAACTAGTTCAGCTTCTCATAGAAAAAGGAGCTCCACTAGATGGCAGAGATTCGCAAGACAACACCGTTCTACACACCATCGTCCTAATGTCGCAGCATAAACTCCAAGAAGCATTGGAGATGTACGAAGTAATCCTGAACAATACCACTCGCTGGTGGTGTAGAAGCGAAGGCGTGGATATGACCAGAGCGAATAGTGTCGCCACAGAAATTGAAGCGAAGCATTACCTGTTCCGTTTGGCAAATAGAGAAGAATTCACTGCTTTGACTTTGGCAGCCAAGGTCGGTGTCAAGGAAATGTTTGAGAAAATTCTCAACACAAACAACATATACAGGTAAGTACATAAATTCATTTTGGAATAGCCAATCTGGATTGTAGAGACTGTCTGGAAGATAGCTCTGTTACAAATGCAAATTCAGTCAGACGTCTATGCTCTTTAACACTTGTAGACTCTAAAGTGGCCAAAAAGCTTGAATATATAATTGAAAAAAAAAAAAACTTTTTTCACAAAGTTTATTTCAACTATAGTGTTAATCATTTATATGAGGACCTGGTTGTAAAAAATGATTTATTTTCAGGTTTTCACAGTGGGAATATGGCCATACAACCACAGCATTTTACGATGTTACTGAAATTGATCCAGTTCTCAGTACGTCTCGAATGTCTGCGCTGGAACTACTTGTGTACACCAATAACGAAGAACGCATAGAATGCCTTAGTATTCCGGTAATTAACCATTTGCTGCATATCAAATGGCACAACTACAGGATGTACTACATAACATGGGGTATTTTGCATCTAATTTACATGCTGATACTATCTCTTCCCGCGTTTGATCCTTTACTCTTCCAAACGCCGTCCAATGGATCTTCGATTCCAAATGCTTCGCTTCCCTACAGGAACAATTCAGCCCAAATCCATGAACCTGGATACAAGAGAAAGTTCCCGTCAGGTGTGTACCTGTTCCTTATGGTCGGCACTTTCTTATTCTTCATATACAGCCTTACTGGGGCGTTAAAATGGTCGGTGAGACACAGAGGCAACGCCATATTGAATATGTGGAAGTTCCTCAGCTGGAATAAACTCCACGTCATTCTTCTTCTGTTTTCTGTTTCTATGCTGTCATTCCTGACCGATGCCGTGAAGTCGTTTCAACCTTTAGCTCTTCTTCTTGGATGGGTGTTCCTAATTTTCTTCACACGCGGTTTCAGACAGACCAGTTTCTTCTCTGCTATGATTCAGCGCATCATGCTCGGCGATTTGCTTCGATTTCTTATCATATATCTGATCCTGACGGCGGGGTTTTCCNTTCTGCATCTAATTTACATGTTGATACTATCTCTTCCCGCGTTTGAGCCTTTACTCTTCCAAACGCCTTCCAATGGATCTGCGATTCCAAATGCTTCGCTTCCCTACGGGAACGATTCAGCCCAAACCCATGAACCTGGATACAAGGGAAAGTTCCCGCCTGGTGTGTACCTGTTCCTTATGGTCGGCACTTTCTTATTCTTCATATACAGCCTTACTGGGGCGTTAAAATGGTCGGTGAGACACAGAGACAACGCCATATTGAATATGTGGAAGTTCCTCAGCTGGAATAAACTCCACGTCATTCTTCTTCTGTTTTCCGTTTCTATGCTGTCATTCCTGACCGATGCCGTGAAGTCGTTTCAACCTTTAGCTCTTCTTCTTGGATGGGTGTTCCTAATTTTCTTCACACGCGGCTTCAGACAGACCAGTTTCTTCTCTGCTATGATTCAGCGCATCATGCTCGGCGATTTGCTTCGATTTCTTATCATATATCTTATCCTGACGGCGGGGTTTTCTTCTGCTATAGGTGTAGCTAGGGTTAATCATTTCGCTTCCTTGACCTCTTCAGCGATTGTGTCTGATGAAATAGCCGAGTTTGATGGTTTTGGTACCACCATGTGGACTTTGTTTAGACTGATGGTGGGCCTTTCAGAAATTCAGATAATACCAGGGAATATCTTCAAAGGCACCTCTGCTAGTAACTTCCCGGTTATAACTTTGCCAGCGTTACTGATAACGTATGTGGTGCTTGTAAATATTCTCCTCATGAATATGCTCATCGCCACTATGACCGACACCTATACCCACATCTCAAAATACAATGATCTTATCTACAAGAAGTTGCGCACGACCGATATGATTTTTCTGGAGCGAATGTTGCCAGAAGTAATGCGCATGCTCGCTGTGGAGGCCACGTATAAGATCTGTCGAGTCATGTCGCCAACTACTCACCGTAATCTGTACCTTTTGGAGGTAGAAGTTTGCAAGAAAGAGGACTAGTATGCACGTAAAATTATCTTTAAACATTTTCATTGTTTCAATATAATTGTGCATGCGTTTTCCTTCAAGAATTAAAAACAATGTAATGTGTAAAAGGGGCTAAGAGCTATGAGAACTTTTTTGCCCCTGACAGTAAAGCTGCGGCACAATTTGACCTCCAAAAGATCCTTGCGAGTTTCAGACTTCTAAGCCAGAACATCCATATGCCACCACCATGCGTGGACTCACTTCAACCCATATGGACAAAGGCTTATGAACTTCTTAACTTTATTTTGCCGAGGTTTCCTTTTTGTGAGCTTGGATACGGGATATATATGGGTTCCGTGTGAATTATTTTAAAGTCTGATTCATGCCCAAGCACTGCACTGCCCAAAGGCAAGTCTGGAGAGGCAAGCCCGATAAATCAATTTGGGTCGATGTGGAAATAACCCATGACCAAACACAATAATTATTATGTGAAAGAAATGAGCGTTCTAGACGGTGGTTGGACTTTTATCTTTATAATTGTATAGCAAAATATATACCTTGCCTTCGAATTTCAACAGTTTTCCTATGTCGCAAAGATATGCATTGCCGATGGCAATGTTACTGTGTTTTAATTTTAACTTTTTATTTACTGGTAACAGAGACTGTTGAATTTCACTTGAAATTGTTAAATAATAGAAATTTCGGACTCGAAGACGGGCTAGTTTCTGTTAATGATTTTTCCTTTTTTGTTAATAGCACATAGCCGCAAAATTGAGTTCCTCATTAATACTCATTAGCTTGTTTCACATAAGTGGACATTTCCATCCCCATAGACACCATTGACCTATAGTGTACGTGGATCTATCCAAATCTGTGGAGACTCTCGCTGAGTACAATCAGCTTTACTGTAGATGAGTAGAGTATAGAAGAGCTGGTGATTATACGAGGTTGGAAACAAGAGGAGGCGTGTCATTCAGTTAAGCTGATTGCATTCAGCGAGAATCCGTACAGAGTTGGATCGATCTACGAAGACCGGTGGTGTCTACGGGATTGGGGTCTAAGACTGTCGACAAGTGTACCCCAGTACGTCTTAGAGTTCTCATCAGAGTTATGCATCTTTTAAGAAAAAAGTTCATTCAATACACAGCAATGTTAACCCCTTTTTTTGTATTATGCAATATACTCTCCCTTTTTAAAACTTTCTTTAAGTATTTAATTTCCCATCAGTGTTCAAGGTTATTGTAACCCTTTGTCATCATCCAGACACCGAAAATTAGTTTTTCCTGTTTCTAATTATTCAATAGTGCATCTATCTTTAATTATGGTGATTTAAAACAATGAAAAATCCCTCGAAAATATGATTATCGGCGTTTATATTTTTCGTTGCAATGTATAAGCATGGGCAACTCAAAGCTTTAATCTTCAATTGAACACCTTTCTATTTTGAGGTGAGATAGCAATCGGTATGGGGCGTAACTTCATCCCTAAACAAGATTTTACACGAAAAATGACAGGAGTGTGCGAGCTACAATGCCGTGCCGTCATTTTGGTTTAAATGTTTTTGTTATGGAGTTATGAGCCCCTAATTACAGACTTTCATTTACCAAAGGCATTATTTTGCTTTATCAACGATAAAACCTGAATTAAGACTTTTAAGAAAAATCGCTGGCAGGATTTTGGAGCAGTAAATGGTGTCAATAAATGGGCGTTAAAACGGTGACCGTGGAAGCTCAGGTAAAAGAGAAATTTGGATTTTCCGTTTTTACCCCAAAATCGCAAAATGACGTAACCCATAAGATGACATATGTGTAAATGTTAATTAATTTAGTCAGGTAACACTGAAAATTTATTTATTACCCAAAAGAATGTATGTAAGGCAGTAAATAAGGAGTTTTGTGCGAAGGGTGACAATATCCTTAAATAACTTTATGCACAATACTAATAAAAAAAAAAAAATAATAATAATGGAAAACCCGTAAGTATTACCGTAAAATGAATAGCTTGAAGTTGAATAAAATATATTAATTCCATGATACTAGGTTGTCCAGTGTTACATATGTACAATCAAGCACGAGAGTAGGTGTAATAAATAACGTTGAACACTGTATGCTGACTGCAATCCATTCAGTTATACCCGCTTTCAAAACATAGATCACATAGGGGACCATTTAGGATACCTATAATTATTGTCGAAAGGGTATTTTGGTAATTTATGGATTTTTTTAACTAGTTGGCTGCAACGGCCGCACCTGACTTTTCGACGTTTACAAAAAGGACTTCATTAAAGGGATACATTAAAAAAGAAAAAAAAAATCGGGTCTTATTGCCCGTGGCCGAAGATAAGGATGGGGTTTCTTCACACCATGTGATAAAATGTAAAGTCATATATCGGGAGTCCTGTGGCAGAAAAAATGCGCGTCTGTTGGGAAGTATTGTATTGGGGTCAGTTTCATGCCATTGAAAAATAAATAAATAAATAAATAAATAAATAAATAAGGAGGTGAAACAAATAAAAGATTTTTTAAAAGTTGGTCTTCCCATAAAATCTTACATTCAGTTAAAATCGCTTTATTTGTTAATTTGCGATTGAATTAGTCATAACCAGCAGTCAGATATGCTACAGCCTATCTTGTGTACGAGCGCCATCTTTCGGGCAATATTACACCAACATGTGCTAGTTGTTGTCTTACACATGCTTCGAGCAAAGTGCGTTTTCTTCATACTTCGTAATTTAACCATGTCCAGTAAGAATGTTTTTGTGCCAAGAATAAATCCAGTTACGGGCGAATCGGAATGGATCCCCCAGAATGAGAATTATGATTACTACCAAGAGATAGCAAGGTAGGTGGAAATGGGTGCATGGGTAGCAGTAGAGTTGCACGGCCAGTCAAAACAGTGACGCTGGCCAGACTTGTTTGTCACCTTTATTTCGGTTGATGACTACAAAAACTATATAAAACGCCACTGGTACTTTTGCAGTATCCCCTTTCCCACCCTATAACTATTTGATTTTCATTGTCTTGAATTCTTGATTTTCAAATTTATATTCAATAAATTTTTGTAGTTAATTCGAACAACATACATGTATCTCTGCTATTCGAATAAATTACATGTGGTTTGTATCTATTTATAATCAAAAGTATTTTTATTATTATTATTATTATTATTATTATTATTATTATTATTATTATTATTATTATTATTACCTCATGTTATCTGACAGCTCTAATCACAGATACAGCCTCCAACATATACATGTAGCATGAATTAAGATTCATATGGTAGCACTCCTTTAGTCACACAATTGCTGTTTTTAAACATAATTATCTAGTTTATGAGAATTATATATATATATATATATATATATATATATATATATATATATAAATTATATTAATTATATATTATATATTAATTATATGTTATACATATGAAGATGGCAAAGTACTTTAAGCATCACGTACGTGTTCATCTTTTAAAGGAGAACGTAAAAATATATCAATTAACTAAATATCTACTCATGATGGAGAAAAGAAAAGAAAAATATTTTACTATGATCAATACTGAAAGATTTCTAATGCACATGTGTGTACTATATTATGTTTTAGAGGTTGCACAGATAATGTAAATTAGTTATTGTAAATAGGAGTGCTAACACATGAAAAAAAATTTATTTAATTTGTGGAATATTTTTGACAATTCAGGTCAGCTTATGCAGACATGCTGCATGATACAGAAAGGGTGAGTTTTTACCTTTTTATATGTAAAAAAAAAAAAAAAATGAAACCGCATTTTAAAACTAGTATTGAAGTATGGTGAATTTCTTGATCCATATGCTAACATAGAATAAGAATAATCCCTCAAATATTTTGTAATAATTCATGTATTAGGGTATAAGTATTTGTATTTTAGTATTCATTTATTGTCCTTTATATATATATATATATATATATATATATATATATATATATATATATATATATATATATATATATATATATATATATATATATATATATGTACTTTAAGCATTGAAACTAAAAAACTTCACCTCTTGCTGATACATTGAAGTGTCTACAGTCAGTTGTTCAAGTGAACATAAAGATCTTTTCTTTTCCTCAGAATAAGAAATATGAGTTGGCATTGAAGAAAGCTATAGACTGCATGCACTCTCAGGGAAAACCTGCTAATGTTCTTGACATAGGAACTGGGACAGGGTTACTCTCTATGATGGCTGCCAGGCATAGAGCTGATAGTATTACAGCTTGTGAGGTGAGAAAGAGAAAAAATTCTTTAATCTGTACCAATTTATTAAAATGGTGAACAAGGGGGTCACGCCGTCAGGTTGACAAACCTATGAATGTACTGTTCTATGCTCTCAAAACTGTATGTATCACAGTCAATGAGAATAAAGTAAAATGTTAAAACTGAGTGTGGTGACTTATAGGTAGGTTAACCTGACCTGACACTGGCTTGTGCTAGATGTCTATACCCTGCTGGAAGACCTCATGAGAGACTCAACCAGACCAGACTCAGGATTTTTTTAGAAGTGCAATTCATGCTAGAAGAACTCATATTCAGTTTGTATTTATTTATATTCCAGGCANACCTACCTTCCACACATCTTGTGCTGTCTTGTTAGAGATGTGAACTGCTCCCAATATTCCACCGACAGCAACAGCAACAACAACAATGACAGCAACAGCAACAATGATGTACTTCTTGTACGACGCCTTGATCTGAAATCAAAAGTTTATGTATGAATCAGTCAAGGTGGCCAACATTTTGAAGACATTTTTAAAATGACTCACAAGCACTTTAAGTAACTTCACATCATGTCTTTGTTTACCTCGTAATTCTCTAACCCCCTTTTCCAATTTCACATGCATTTGAAGTAACTTTACGTAATGTCTTTGTTTGGAGTTCGTTTGGCATTAATTCTTTATAACCCCTTTTCTCTTATACATCATGTTAAGTCTAAAGAGGTTAAGTCAACTTGTTTGGTAGTCCGTTTGAGGACTAAGAATCCCTTTGTCTTGGTTTACCAGTACCAGTATGATAACAGGAGTTCGATTCCCCACAACTAGTTACGACGGTGTCCGCATTATTAACCTATTTGTATATTTCACTCTTGACTTAATTTGGTCGGTTCCAGACGGACATAGTTTTTAATGTGACCTTCAACATCGTATCACAACATTTCCATAATTAATAGTGCAGTTTATGTTTATAGATTTTGTATAAAAAAAGTCTTAAATGATTTAAATCAAATTTCAGCTGCTGATGAAGAGAAGAAGGAAGAGGCTCCTGCAGCAAAAGAGGAGTCCGGCGGTCTCTTTGATCTCTTTGATTACATCCCCTTAGTACAGCAATCTATTAAAATATTGGAGTTTTCACTAACTGTGCCAATTTTTCGTAGGTCGTCAGTAAAAAGCAGCATCTCTTTGAGGAAGAACTTATACATGTACCTTATTAGGGGGGGAGGGGGGATCAGTTAGTAAGTGAGGGTGGGGGGTTAAATAGCAAGTACATATCTTGGGTAAGGGCTATTTGCCTGGATAGTCTCTTTCCCCGAGGAAGTTTAGATAGACATCAAAATGTTTGAGACATACAGCGATCTCAATGAACTAGATTAAAATAAAATACAATAAAATGAAATAGAACAAAATAATGCTTCATTTTTATGAAATTAAACTTTCTCATTCAATGTCTGTATCATACTTTCGATAGGTTGGCTTTTCGAACATCCTCGTTTCTATCATTCGTTTTCTCATAAATTCCTGTTTGCTGTATTTAAGAATTTTTGAATCTCTTTTTTTTCCTTAAAAGGATAACAACTCTTCGTATGAGATCTATATTTTACTATAAATACACAGTAAAAAAACTGACGAAAATATAATAATTTCTATTTTACCACAAAAACGGCAGTTATAGCAATTATTCTTAAATCTGTGTTTGTCTTCCAATCACGTGACCTCCATAGATGGCTATACTCTGTAATTATCTCATAAGAGATTATTACAAAAACACTTCTCATAAAAAAAGGCGAGACTAACTTCGAATGTAGAAATGGATTCATTAACCATCAGTAAGTATGGAAAAATTATCATTTACACCAGGAAAATTCATTTTTTGGCCCAAATGAACAGTTGTTATCATTTTAACTTAGTATCCTTGCCACGTACCTCAGCGTCAGTTTGTCGAGGAGACGCACTATCCGTGACAACGGTCACGCTTGGGTCGATCGACTTCTCGTTCACGGTTGGCAACATCTTGAAAACGCACCGATGTCGTAATAACACGAGCAAACCTTTGGAAATGATGACAAGGAAGATTTAATTTGTCTTTTATACCTGCCGAATAATTGGCAACCTGCCAATTGTCTTGCAAACCTTTGATACGTTTTGTTTACTCAATCTTCATTTCCAGGGACGACTTTACGAAGAACTGGATTTCATCTTATCCTTTAACGCGTTCATCGCTTGAAATCACGTAGCAAAATTTCAGTATGTAGTGAAGATTAAAGTCACAACGGTGATATTCCAATCATTTTTTTTTTTTCAGATAACGCAACCGGGAAGTAGTGCTGTATTTACCAACTGAATGTTTGCAGTAGCGAGAAAGCGTTTTAAGATGTACTAGTAGTATGATGTAATGCGTAAGTGTATACACACACAGTGAAGTGCAAAATACCCAGTATGTTTGTGCTTTGGATATTTGACACGAGAGAGAGAGAGAGAGAGAGAGAGAGAGAGAGAGAGAGAGAGAAAAGAAGAAGAAGAAGACGAAAGCGTAAATAGAATATCTTTCTACAAACTAGATTTTTTGGTATCTGGGGGAAGGGGATGGTATGATAAGATTGCTTGCAATATCAGTGAAGTCTTGATAAGAGAAGGGAAGTTCCCTTCTTCCAAGAACACAAGCATTCCCATGTGTTTATCACATGTTGCAAACGCAGGTAGGTTTTTTACCAGTCTTTTTTGGAGAGAGGTCGTTGGTCGACCCAAAGGCCACAGAAACAAGCGCGGTATGCAATGACTTTATTTTGCTCCATTATGTGTTCATAATTTTTTTTAATTTCAGTTGCATACACAGCCATTTAAAGGCATGGAATGGTGTTTAACTAACTCCTCCGGAAGAGAAAATTAAAGTTAAAGACGAAGACATATGATGCAAGGAGTATTTGGTGCCCTCCTAAAATTTCCTTTCACTTCTCCCTAAAAGTTTTTTTCGATCAGCTCTTAAATCTGACATGCCAAAAACTTGTTTCTGTCCAGAACTGCATTTTACCGGTTCTCTAGTCGTCAACGACACCAGTTTACAGAGTGAAATATCTATTAAGTATTTTAAAAATACTTCACGTAATATCTTGTTTATTAATGACCAAAAGACTGATGTTAGAATGGTGGTCCTTTTTATTCTAGGACAGTCCCCCCCCCAAGTCGATCACCCCGTAGATAATACCCCCTCCCCCAAGAAAAAATTACAATTTTAGAATTATCTTTTTCAAAGAATTTATAAGTTTCATAAATAATTTACCGAATATTTACAGTATGTAATTACATTCTCAAAATTCAAAAAAATCTCCTATATTCTAAAGCATACCTGAGAGGTAACATATAATTTAACATGCTTAAGACAAAATTTGTGAATTTGCCTTTACATTTTAAAATCGTCATTTTTGTTCTGAAAGCAAATCGATGTCATTTTAAAACTCATCTGCATTTCATTTAATTGTTAGTCAGTTATCTGAATAACAGGTTGAGAAAATACATTAAACAATTATATATAAAAAGAAAAGGAAAACAAGTCATTGTTTATTTGTCATGGGGTAGTGGTGAAACAATTAAAAGCGACAGTTCCTCAAAGGAATACCTGGATAAGTGAGATTATTTGTTTGAAGATGCAGCTTAATTAAAGGCAGGGATTATAATTTGTTCCCAGTATTACACTGTTTATTGTGAACAGTAGCATTTCATGACTGAAGGGGGGGAATGTCCGAGTAGATTTGTCCGGAGGGGGGGGGGGGGGGGTGGGGTGAAGTAACGGGGGGGGGGGGGGTGAATAACAGTCCTCATACTATCGAAACGGTTAGATCGAGGAGAAATGATATAGAAGTGATCATCGAAGGATAGAATTGAGAAAATCATAGAGGGAATATACTCATTTTACTCCTTTCGAATATTTGTACTCCCCCTTACTTTTACTGCAATTAAAAACAATATCTTCTCATTTTAGAAATACAGGTAACTGCTGCCAGGTTTACATTAATATTACTGGAAATGAAAGTATATTGTAACAAAGCTGCCCTCTCAGTGGTGATTTGTGGACAGCCTTATTGTTGACGGGTCCCAATCCATGCTAATAGATACTTATAGGCTATAACTGCATTCCCACTTCCAATAGGTCTCATTTTATTTTATGAAAATATATATGTATTCTTACCTGTAATAGATGGCACTGTGCGTGACTATTTTTACAATGTGGGCATTCGAACAATTCACTCCTATTCTGAAAACACGCTCTGGTTTCTTTGATTTGGTTGAGCAGAGTGATACAGAAACCGGGAACAGAATTTCGAATACCTAATATTTTCACATTACTGCCATCATGTTAATCCTTTCATCTTTATATTTAAAATAAGCTACACGGTCAGGACAATGGTTTCGTCTCGCTTATGTACGAGTCAAGGCATGATGTGATTGTAAAATGTTTAGTAAACCATGGGGCGGTAACATCCCAGTGTCCCCGTTAGCCTATACCCTTCTTCGGCCCATAGAAAGATCATTTAGTAGAGGCACATGCTGCATTGATTACGGTGCTTATATACATATCGCGTGCGTACTATCAGAAGTACACGCAGTTATATATGTTTAATGGAGTGAAAGGTGGTCCCCCCTCCCCGTCCTACTACATGTTGTACCACACGTCTTCCCCACCCCCATGGCAGAGTTAAACAATTTGACCAGGAAGATACACAGGAGTTCACATTCATTGATTTCACCTGCAGTGTGCATCGCCCACGCTATTTCTAAAGCGTTAAGGACTGTTACAGAATTTGTCATGTTACCATGTGTTGGCGTTCACGCCCTGTGTCAACAGACACTCAAATCCTCGTTATAGTGCACGAACACAGGCAGGGCATATAGAGATTTTCAGAGATTGTCGAAACAGGCAATTTTATTATAATGAATGTAAAATCTGATTTTTACCTCCGACAAGGAGGTTATGATTGCACTCCCCGTAAGTCTGTTTGTTTGCCTGTCTTTGTTTATTTGTCACCGGCATACAAAGCAACTCAAAAAGATAAAAGGTGGACTTTCAGTTTCATGAAATTTTCGTTAGATGGATTAGACAGAAATTAGCTAGCTCAAAGGTGATTTGATTTTGGTAGTGATCCGTGATCAGGGTGACCACTTGGATCAATCTTCATTACGAGATAGGGCCAATGATCTTGACCCGTTTTGCAACGAATGGGCTCTCAACTAACACAATATTGCTATTGGCTGCTTATTAATCTTGGAGGTACTATTCTATCCCCTTTTGTTGTTATGATCATAGATGTATACCCGTTTTATAGGAATAAGCCTATACTTTGCTGTGGAAGTATTTTTTTGTAAATCATTGGGCTTTGGATTTGTGGTCATGCACGTAATTAAGTCATATTAAAACGGGATAGGATGACTCCAGACGACAGAGATCGCTATAACTTCAATACACCCGCTGCTTTCACAGCTTCCTTTTGTAGAGGGATGTTTGATACGGGATGAAAAACACAGATTATAACACTCACACCGTGTCGTCCATCACGCCTAGGGGTTTATATACTAGTATCATGTTATGTGTTCTACCAATGGAGTCATTTGGTTCTTTTCCTGGTCAAGATTATTTCAGTTTGACCGAAGGCGTTGGTAATAATAATAATAATAATAATAATAATAATAATAATAATAATGAACTTTTCTTAAAGAGGGTAAAACATGTTAAGTGTAGGGCTTATCTTACACATGGCCCTGGTAAAGCGATTATATTGTGTAACTCCCGCTCCCCTGCTTTGCGTCATTATTCGTGTCCAGTGTACATTAAAGATACACAATAGGCGTTCGATACTGATATAGCCAAACAATTATTTGAGGTTTTTTACACCTCTTCTTGATGTGCCACGTTACATCTTTTTCAAAACCGTCCACACAATGACGATTCAAAAACCCGATTTTGAGTACGAAATTTCCAATCTTTAGGCACTGACGTAATGGTGATGGGTATCTGTGAGTTACACTCGTCACTGTAAAAATATAAATATAAAACGAGAAAACTGACATGCACATGCGCAGGCCGGCATTTTTTCATCCGCCTTGGGTTGAATATACTGTATACCTTGGAGATTGAAGGGGATTTTGTTGGCATTTTTTAGGATCTTTAACCCTTGCCTTATACAGGTGTTTTGCCAATCGTGTGCCTTTAAAACAGCCATGGTGTCTCTATCACGTGCGGCATGACATCATCGCCGCCATTATTACTGAGTAGACGCGAACCATGAAGACTGCCCTTTGTGTCGTTTTGTTGACAATGGCTTTTGCCTGTGTCCAGGTACGTGTAAACTTGGTACTTGGAACTGTCTGATGAAAACTGTGTTATTTTTATTACTTAATATTGAGGTAAAGATCTCCAAAAGATTATTTTTCAAATATCTCGAGGGGAGGGGGCAACCTTCCGCCCTCGTCCTACAGTAGGTCCCTATACGATCCTGAATTAATTACCCCAGTGCCTTGGTAATTCATGTTGAATCTTTGAAAGACGTAATGAAATAATTCTCTTTCTGCCATAGGCCTATAAGAGATGTAGCAGCGACACAGACTGTTACGGTGGCAAAACAATGTGCTGCCTGTCCAATCGGTATGGTAGAGGGTACTGCCGTTCTCGTGGACGCCAATACTCTATTTGTTCCATAAGTGGAAGCGCCAATCGATGTCCCTGTAGAGAAGGTACGACTGTCTTTGTTCTTGTCTTCGATTCCGTGCTTATAGGCCTAACAGTTTTTTTTTCTTTTTCAATTACCGTTCCTTCTTTTGTTATTTTTTTTTTATTTTATTATATAATTATTTTCATCAAATTATTATTTTCATTATTATTACTTTCATATGTTAGTTTTCACTTTTGTCATGCATTCCACAATCGACAAATTATCCTATCTCAAAGACTGTATTGAAACCAGAGGTAGACGTATTCAAAGCTGACCTACATTGTATCTCACAACTAAAGCTGCTTACCACCACTATTTCTCTATAGAGAGCCAATCGTAAAGAGTATATTGTTTCCTGGTAAAAGTGACTCTGTTTATTGACACATTTATTTGATTATTCCATTTGATAAAATTTAAGGTTTGGAATGCATCAGTGCTCGTGGCAACCCCTGGTTTGGCGGCCTCGCTGCTATTCTCGTCAACCCAGATAGCGGTCTGTGCAACACGATTAAGGTGACCACTGGCGGGTCTGGGGAATCCGGCGACGGTGACCTTTGAATCATTAGACTTTCTGGGATAAAGGTCAAGTTTACGACCAATGATTGCGCCTATAGCTAGCCTCTGGAGAACGCCCCAATTTGTGTATGTATCATCAAAGGGACTGCTGTTTAAGCAACTTATCTATATTTTATAAATATCTTTCATCGATGATAGTGACAGTTTTGTCCCAATAAAATTGCAAACGAGGACTAATGTGTTGGGAATATGTTGAGTTGTTTTATGAATTCATCTTAAACAGTGCAACACAAAGACATTACAAGTATGGACTTCGAATATATCATGCATAGGTGAAGTTTGAGTAAATGAAATGGTCCATTTCATTTTTACCAATGTTTCATGAAGGTTTTAATTTTTTAATAATTGTATAACAGAACGGTACACTCCAACCGAGAGATTGTTTCGGTGTTCGGTGTTTGGTTTCGGCTTTTTTTTACATTTTTCAGACTGTCATGTATTTGCACCGCGTTTATAATTCATAAATAAACGGGGCATTGTAAAATACAACTAGACACGCACGTGTAACGCACACAATCCGAGAAATAAAATAATTTCAGCCTGATCGAATCATCAAAGAGTCTTATATTTATTCTCGTTTGGAAGCATAACACAGACGCATGGGTCACAGCTGGCAGCATCTTGAAGGGTTTCCTGTCTCTATAGAGCAGGTATCAAAAGAAGCCAGAAAACCATAAAAGGGAGAGAATGAACACACTCTGTACTTGGTAAAAACGCGCCAAAAAAGCGCACTTGCCTTGTTTTCACACCAGTGGTATCTGATTTATCATAATTAAAGACTGAATGCAGGTTTTGCGACCTATTTATGTAAATGCAATCACCCAGGAGTTATTTTCAGTGCTCTTTTTTACGTTTTATTTCCTCAGTATTTAACAGGATGTAGATAAGCAACTGTCATGTGTATGTAAAAATGAATAACATTTATCCCATTGACGTTTAAATAGCCTTCGAACAAACTAAATACGTATCAACCGCCCTATATTAGCCATAGAAATCAGTATTGATAATAGAAATCAAATAAAACCGCATCATATACGTCGGTGTCAAACTTCCTTACGTTTATGGCAAATGAGAGAGAGAGAGAGAGAGAGAGAGTAATTTAATAATAACATATTAAAAAGAAATAGTAAATCTTCTAGATTTACCACAGACCATTTGAGTAAATGCTCTCTTCTTGAACATTTTATGGATTTTATGGATTTTTCTTAAAACCATTAAAACCATAAAAAAACAAAAAAAAAAAAAAAAGAAAAAAATCCTTTTAATGTCTAAATGATAATTTAAAAAGTCCGTTTCCACTCCTCATCCAAGGAAATAACTGAAGATGCATTGAATCTAGGAACATTCTGAATTACCATATCGCAGGGAAAGTCTGAAAAATTAAAATGTCTGTAAACAAGTCTCTTAAAAAAAAGGAGCATGGCGTTTCAACATACCAATAAAATTCTGTCAAGTGACTAGGCCGTTTGAAAAAGGGTGGCAACATCGGAACTCATAATACGCTTATGTTGTCTCTTTAAAAACGATTTACTTTTTTAACACAATTACAGAAGAGGTATGCAGTGACATTTCACCGACCGCAAATGAATGAAAGTCCACAAACACAAATGTATGTCTTTGATAACACAACAAAAACATAATGTATGTCTTTTTACCTCTTTTATTAGGTAAATGCCACACAATCAGTAACTGTCGCAAGTTTTTTTTCTTTTGCTTTATTAATTTGGCAAAATATATACGTAGCAAGGAAAATCGGCATTGTAACCCCAACTTACTACCTTCTTGAAAGAACATTACTTTTTCAAATCCCCATGTTTGTAACTTATCAGTTCATCATTCAATGAAGTTCGCAAAACAATTCTTTATCTTCAGGTAGCCAGTTTGTCGTACAAGGTCTTCGTTCACAATTAATGACTCTGTTCGTTTATATTCTAGGGTGTGTCGCTGTGTGTGTGTTTGTGTGTGTGTGTGTGTGTCTGAGAGAGAGAGAGAGAGAAGCCGGAAATAATTCTCCAGCTTAGCCGAGGTGTTGCACTCAAAAAGTAAGCTAAGTGACATTACTGACATTTCGCGATGGCATTTAATAACGACACCTGTGGCACCACACCCAAACCACACGCCTGATGCAAACACGTCTACACCTTTTACAAAATAAACAGCGGATACATATGCAAATGCGTCGCACCCTCCGGCAACGGTACCTATAGCAGCCTCGCTTTTGACGATGAACTCCTGAAATATAATATAATATAATATAATATAATATAATATAATATAATATAATATAATATAATACAACGGGAAGAAATTGAGACCAAAGGGACCTGCAATTTATATTGTACGTCCGATGCGTCTAAATACAAAGTAAGAAAGAAATCTCACGTCGCTGCTATACAGGTACATTCCCGAGACATGTCTAGTGCTTACCTGCCGTGCCTCGTGTGTTGGCGCCATCTACAGTATTGTCGTCCTTTTGAGTTAGCCAGTATGTCTTCAGATCCCTGCAGAATTCCTGCATTCTGGGACTTAGGAAGGACTTGTCCTTGATCGGGGAGGTGTTGACAACGAATTGCCTGTGTTCATCATCGGTGTCTTCATCATCGTCATCTGTTGTACTTTCATTCTAAAGTCAAAATGGAAGGTTAAGTAAGATCTAGTTATTCAAAGCTCCCGTGATTTTCATTTTTAAAATTGACTTGATATTTTTTAAATAAAATTCAATACAAGGTGCAAGTAAAGATGTCAGCACAAATTCAAAGTCTGCATATACAAAGTAAATTGTTCCGATTGCTCCATTAGCCCTGATCACATTTCTAAATGTAACTTCATATTCTAAAACACATTCAATAGTATCGTTTATGTAAAAAATGTTTAAAAAAAAGACTGAATAAATATAAAGTTAGTCGTACCGGTTGTTCCAAAGCGTTGGCCACGTCCTTGCTGTCAGTCTCTTCAGATTTGTTCATTGGAGCCAAGTAACAAGCAAACTTGTTATTCATTTCCATCTTGTATCCTACCAGACTCTGAAATGATGAAATCTGCATATGATAGTTTGAAAAGAAAGACTTTAAGGCTAAGCAAGCAAACTTGCTGTTCATGCCCATCTTGTATACTACCAGACTCTGAAATGATGAAATCTGTTTATAATAAATTGAAAACAGACTTTAAGGTTGAAACTGGTGGTGTAATCTGCCCTTTTACAGAAATCCGTCGCTCGTTAACCAACTAATTAATTCAGTCTGGCCTTTTTTTGTTAAAATGATAAAAACGTATTTTGATGGAATGAAACATTTGCAACGAAAAAAAAGGAAATGTCACCACAGTCTTCCAAATTATCTTTGTTGATCTATCCTACATTTTTGACCGTCTTCCGACAGACAAAATTAGATACCCGACAATGTAAACTTCAAAATCTGAGCGTCTTCCGGAAGACCCAGAAGACGGCCTCAATCCGCCCCTGCATTGAATTAGTCCTGAAATGACGGTGCAACGCTCTTAAGAACTCTGAAGAATTTTAAAACAACATGTTTTCCTTTTGACATACATCAGGTAGAATAAAACTTTATTGTTTATTATTTTTCTAAGTTAAGTTGAAACCTCCACTCACTCTCGAGTTGTCCATGGCGACGTGGAACTTCTCGTTGTTCACGTTGTACACGGTGATGTTGTCCTTCAGATCAACCTGAACCTTTTCGTCAACTTTCTTCCCTTGTTTGTCGGTTAAGCGGAGATGGTACTCCTGAAGAAAAAGCAATGTCACTGGAAAACCATATAAGGCAATAGGGGTTATATTGGCATATTGTGTTCCCGATAAGCTTAAAAAGAAACAGAAAAAAATGGCACGTTTTGCCGATTAGATTATCCTTACTAGTGCTCGCAGTGCACGGTGCTATTTTAAAGCAATTCTCTTCTCTGCCTGTATCAGATGTGTTAATCAATATAATTTCAAAATATTCAGTTTAACCCTACTGTATTTTTATTATTATTATCATTATTACGATTATTATTATTATTATTATTATTATTAGTGATATAGTATGCTTCCACCACATATACCTTCCACACATCCTGTGATGCCTTGTTAGAGATGTGAACTGCTCCCAACGTTCCACCGACAGCAACAGCAACAACAACAATGACAGCAACAGCAACAATGATGTACTTCTTGTACGACGCCTTGATCTGAAATGTGTGAAGATGGAATTAATCAGACATTTAATTAGCTTTCCAAATGCTCTCTCACTTGTGGCGTATTTCATTAGAAATACGTACCTTTAAAAGAAGGTGGTAATCTGTAAAGCCGATATAATATTATGATTTTTATACAATGTTTGTACAACAGGTTGAAAATGAAACTGACAAATTTAGAGATTCCAGATGACAATCTAAACACATAAAATAATAACGCTGTTCGTTTTTCCATAGTTTACCAGTATGAATTTAAAAAAGAGTGCACCTTTATGAAGTTAACATGTCATTTTTTATATAAAGATAATCTTGATACTTTTAGATAAATTAACTCACAAAATCCGATTTAAACATTGCAAAATGTTCAGACTTAAGCATCGTCGTTCTTTAAACTATTTAAGATAAAAAATACAAGTGTGCACCAAATTATGCAGCTGTTTTAGCATGGTTGCACATCCCTGACATCCCCTGTATAAGGCTGAAAAATTCTTGGCCTAAACGTCTTTATTAAGTGGATATACTTACCTCGGCGCTGTTACGTCGAGAGGATCCACCATCTGTGATGACCGTCACGCCGGATTCGGCAGACTTTTCGTCGACTGCTGGCAGCATCTTGAAAAATAGCAGGCACCAAACAAGTCCTTCCTTCTCCAGGTAGAGGGAAACCGTCGTCTGATTCGTGTTCGACGCACATCCCTTTTTATAGATCCGATCTTGTTTGAAAATTCACCAAGATTTTACATAAGAGGAAAAACGCCTTCCAAGAAAAAAAGCCATTTCCATTTGTTTATTGACCACAAAACTGCGAACCTTGTTTTTCAAAAATGCATATGATGATGAGGGGCAAATGTCAAAACCAAGATAGCGTGCATTTAGGTTGTATTTTAGATGTTGCCTCAAATACTCCATGCTAAATATAAGCTTAAGCCCCAATGTACGGGTGATATCAAATATGCAATTTTTCCATAAGATTCTCGCTGCAATAACCTGATTTATTTCGCTGAAACTTAAATAAGCCAAATACGCCTAAGACCACTCATTTAATCTAAACTAAAATGTCGCTGCATGCCAACGTCATCCCACTGCTAAATCACCGGTTTCTCTTAAAGTTGCCATTACTAGCAATTAGGTGCCATGAATATTTAGTTGCACGCCGTCTGGTATCTCCCTTAAACTAGCACTGCCTGGATATTTGTAAGTCTTTTAATGTTATGCCATAGCATTACTGATACCAGCAAAATGTATACAGCTTCAAAGTTACATTAAAATAAATTTAAACTACTTTGAATGTAAAATGTGCACTGGTTTACTGGTTAAAGATATCATTCATTACTGGATAACATTATTATTATTATCAAAAGCAAGAATCAATTTCAAGGCAACGATGTAAGGTTTTCCAGGAAAACTGCGATAAAGAAATATTAACTGCTAAAAAATTGTTTAAAAAGTTTTCAAAAGGCTGATGTAGATCTTACAAAAAATTATAACCCTTCAGATTTGCTGTACTAGCAGAATTTGAAGTGCAACAGGGCATGTCAGCGCAAGATAGATTCTGCACATTTTTACCTCATAAGACTGTACAGGGGTATAACCACCCAATGACTTTCAAATCGTTACGTAGTCGTTACATTATCATAACGAAATATTCCGTTATTTTATAGAAAAATTGCATCAGCCGGGGTATAGACTATGAAAGCTGTATGTTACCGTACTGTATCATCATCTCTAAAATGGACTCTAAGACCCCATTCCCATAGATTTTAGATCGATCTATCTCCGTGGGGAGTCTCACTAGATTTTTGTCAGCTTAGTCGGCTTAAATGTCTGTCCCGCCTACTAAAAGCTGTAAGGGGTAATTAACTTTCGTGCGAGCTCGGCTGACAGCAATTTAGCGTGAACCCCCAGGGAGTTAGGTCGATCCAGATAGATCGATCTAAATCTGTGGGAATCCAGTCTAACACCCAAAAGGCAGCCCATTATCTTTTATCTAACTAGAAAACAGCTTTGAAAAACAACTAGGGTGTACAGTCAAGGTTAGATAAAAACTCCTAAATGGCTGTTTTCAGGCAAATGGTTTGGATAAATGATAAATATTTGATGCTCATTGACTACATTGCATCTACATAAATGGCATTTTATTGATAGCGGCATAATTTCGATTTCGGAGTGTAAATTGCAAAATCGGCTATTTCTTATATATCTCCTTTACCTTAGCATCTATGAAAATCGTGATACTTTTTAGAACTGTTCAATAAAACATTTTAATTAGAGAATCATGACTCCATAAAAACATTTAAACCATAGTAAAGGCAGGGGATTATAGTTCTAACTTTTTTACGACACACATGTCAATTTCCGTGATAAACTCATCTTCAGTTAAGAAGTTACGATACTAATTGTTATATCACCTTGAAATAATAAGGGTATACATTTCCCAAAAGCCCATGTACGTTAAATTAAGAATTCACTGATTGAACAGCTACAGCTATTAGGATTTTTAAATGCAGCTTTCTAATCTTCTGTAAATCTTTCGCGAACCGCTTGCTTTCGCTTTCACATGTTGTCTGATTGCGCTCCGTAAGACTTATGGCACGCAACGCTTGTGACTGCACTGTTCAGGTGTCGCTGCCTATCACGTGACACCACATTAGCCCCGCCCATCCCATAGCAGCTGAGGCGGAGTAAAGTGGCTGTACCTGTTCAATTTAAAGAATTACAATAAAAACACATAGGAAATGCGAGCCACTTTGTCTAATTTTTCAATAAGCAAAATGGTCGATACATTATTTGAAAAAAAAAAGCTTCTTTCTGGGTATTTTGATGATCATAACCCTGTCCGTGTCCTTAGCGACTGACATAGACGCCTGTGTAAAAATAACGATCTTTTACCTGATTAATCATACTATACGCACTTCTTGTGAAATTTAAACACATTTCCATGGATGAAAGACAACGGATGAAAAAAATGCCTTCCACGAAAACTGAAAAATATATTTGTGGTTTTTCTTAAAGCACAAGTGTGCATAATTTTGGCGTTTACAAATAAAGGACGTTTGGTCTATCACGTGCTTAACAGATAAATTTCCTGAAAAACTGTAATAGCTATTTAAATGGCCTCTAAACGTGCTAGCTATGATTTTGGCAAGTTGGCGGGAGAGAGAGAGACAAAATGCCTCTTTGCATTTATCTTCATTTACTTTGCATGAAATGCCATACATTTACACTTACATTTTACATTTATATCACTCTCCACCTTTTGGAATAATCACGGGGTAACCATTTTCGTAATACACCGTGTGGGCATGGCCCGATGTATATTTCAAGAACGCGTTTTGCAATTTGGATGCTTTCATGGCTACATAACACACGTGTCACGTACACTTGACATTTGCGATATCTTGCACTATAGAATCAACACCACACAAAGGTGTCCACTAAATTATCTTTATTTTTCAACGCACACGTGTGCCACATGACTCCACAACCAACATGGAGTCCACCTACTCTCTCAAAACCTCCCACTAGAGGGACACAATCTTACGTCTCCTCCGCTGCAACCAAGACAACCCTAATACACAACAACACGTAGAGACATAAAGACACAAAAAGTTCTGTTCAGCAACATTACATGTGGTGTCTTTCGACACGACCTTCATACAGTTAACACAAATATGAAATAATGACAATCAGTAACTGTCTAACTTTTATTTGATTCAGTTGACGAGATAGAAGAGAGAAGATAAATCGCTATTGTTTTTATCGGATAAATCAGTAGGTCTATACTACAAAATATACAAAACATTATCCCGATTTACTACCAGCTACATCAGTGTCGTGCGTGCTAAAGCCCCCACAGTCAAGATCTACTTAAGGAATGGCTCTGTTTATAAGCGTGTGGATGAGTGTTTGTGTGCGTGCATGAGCGCGCATGCGTGTATATGTGTGCATGAGCACCTGTGTGTGTGCGTGTACGTGTGTGTTTGTGTACATGTGCGCTTCCTTTTCTTGGTTGACAATGTTTATTTACCCCAGTGACATCTGTAACTCCAACCATAATATTATCTGTAATAGCAAAACGGGGCCATCATACATTTAACACAGGAGACAACAATAAAAAGAAGAATAAGAAGAATAAGAAAATAATAAGTATTATTATTATTTTATCGTTTCACGTTTAAAAATAAAACTCACCCTACTATAAGGGTGGCGAGAGACTATAACCTGGGAAAGTACAATTAAAAATGTTTCTGCTTCTTTTTAAGTACAATGTATGCGTAATCGCTCATTCAGTGATAAAAAGAATGACGCCCGTTATGTAGATAAGCAACTGATACAGTGTATGTGAGAATGAATGTCATTAATCCTGTTGACGTTTAAAAAGCCTTCGAACAAACTAAATATGAATCAGCCGCAACAGATTAGCAATAGAAATCAATATTGATACATGTAGTAGAAATTAAATAAAACCACATGAAATACGTCAGCGTCATGCTTCTTCGCTTTTATTACTGATTGGGGGGGGGGGGGGGGGGGGGGAGAGAGGGAGGGAGGGAGGGGGGGGGGGGGGGTGGATCACTTTGTAAAAANTTTTCTTGCCAATAACTTTAGAGAGGGGGAGAGAGAGAGAGAGAGAGAGGGGAGGGAGGACGGAGATGATCTACTTTGAAAAAATGCGTATAATAAATATGATCTATTTGGAAGAAAAATATTTGTCTTTTTCTTTGCCTTGAGACATTTATTCCACATGGATGTTTCCAGGAGCGTCGTGCGTTTGTTTGAGATCTATTTATATAAACAACTTTCACTTACATCGCCTTAAATCGTGTGGATATGACTAAGCAGGAACACTTGTAAAATGAAGACCAAGACACACGGATAACTTTGCATACATTAGCTTAATAACGATGTCACTTTATAAGCGCATTGATTAAGCGACTCTCTCTCGCAGATCATTAACAATTTGTCCCTGAAGTGCGATGTCATTACACAATTATATTTTCAATTAATTTTCGAAAGCTATATGTTTGATTTTACCGGTTAAAATTATTGTAATGCTGTATATCTATTATATCTTACCATTTTGGAAAATAATTTAATAATTAAACATATCAAAAAGATGTAATAAATCTAGATTTACCGCAGGGCATTTCAGTAAATGCTTGAGCATTTTACGGATTTTATGGATTTTTTTAAAACAGTTAAAATCATTAAAAGCAAAAAAGAAAAAAAAACCTTTTAATGTCTATGTGATAATTTAAAGAGTACGTTTCCACTCCTCTTCCCAAGAAGTAATTGAAGATGCATTGAATGTAGAAACCTTCTGAATCACCATATCGCAGGGAAATTCTGAGACAGCAGAAGAAAAAGAAAGATGAAATGATTTTGATTACACTTTAAAGCTAACAGGGAATAAATTCTGTATATTTCTCAACGTGCTTTTATCATAATTTGGCTTCTCGCATCCTCAATATTTAAAACCGAAGAAAAGAACGATTTTTAAATTAAAATTGCTGTAAACAGCTAAATCGTTTCTAAAAGAGGAGTACGGCGTTTCAACATTTCAGTAAAAATCTGTCAAGTAATAGGTTGGTAACACCGGATCTCATAATACGCTTATATTGTCTCTTTAAAAACGCTTTATTTTCATACCACGATTACACAAAGAACCGACCGCAAATGTTCATTTGTCACCGACCGCAAATGAATGAAAGTCCACAAACACAACTTTAAGTCTTTGATAACGCAAAAAAAACATAAGATATATCTTTTTGCCTCTTTTATTGGGTAAATTCCAAACAATCAGTAAATGTCACAAGATTTATTTCCTTCATTTTACAAAATAAGTAGCGAGGGAAATCTGCATTATGTCACTGACTTAAAAACTATTTGAATACATCTTATATATTAAGCCCCCATGTGTGTTACTTATCAAGTGATCATACAATTAAGTTCGCCAAATATTTTATAATCTTCAGGTAGCCACGGTGATGTGCAGGTCTTGATCTACAATGGTTGACTATGTTCATGTGTGTTCTAAAGTGTGTCACTCCGTGTGTGTGTGTGTGTGTGTGTGTGTGAGAGAGAGAGAGAGAGAGACCGGAAGCAATTATCCAATTCAGCTAAGGTGTTGCACTAAGCTTAGTGACATGACTGACATTTCGCGATTGCGTTTATTAATGGCACTTGCGACACCACCCACTAGATACACGCCAAACGCAAATACGTTTACAACTTTTACAAGTTTTACAACGGTTGCAACTGCAAATGCGACGCAACCTCATGCAACGGTGCCAATGACAGCCTCGCTTTTGACGATGAGCTCCTGAAATGGAATAGAATAGAATAGAATATAACAGGAAGGAATCGAGAGGAAAGGAACCTGCAATTTATATTGTGCGTCCTATGTGTCTAAATACAAAGTAAAAAAGAAATCTCATGTCACTGCTACACACAGGAACATTTCAGAGATTTTTCTTGTGCGTACCTGCCGGTGCTTGGGTGTCGTCCTTCTGAGTAAGCCAGTATGCCTCCAGATCTCTGCAGAATTCCTGCATTCTGGGACTCAGGAAGGACTTGTCCTTGATTGGAGATGTGTTGGCAACGAATTGCTTTTGGTCGTCATTGGTATCTTCATCATCGCCATCTGTTGTGTTTTCATTCTATAGTCAACACGAAAGGTTAAGTGAAGTCAAGTTATTCAAAGCTTGTATTCACTATCAATTTTTGAATGAAAATTCAATACAAGGTGTATGTAAAGATGCTCACACAGATTCCAAGTCCGAGTACGTATCAAGTTCATCGTACCGGTTTTTCCAAAGCGCTGGCCACATCCTTGCTGTCAGTCTCTTCAGATTTGTTCATTGGAGTCAAGTAACAAGCAAACTTGTTGTTCATTTCCATCTTGTATACTACCAGACTCTGAAATGATGATATCATGTTATATTTTAACAAAGACTTTAAGGGTCAGGCAAAGCTGTTTAACGAGAACGACTGGCTTATATATATTGATGAAAATGCATTACATGTATTTTTCAGTTTTCGTAACTGGGCAACTTTTGCCATACGTCCGTGTAGGACCTTAATGCTTTTGTTTTTATGCTTTCTCTTAATTGCCCTTCATTGTGGATCTGACAAAAGAACGGACCGAGTCTCACATTCAGTTGCTTTTCTCCTGAAACTGCTGATGTCCTCTGTTTAGTCGTCGCTCGTTAGCAACTTATCAAGTTCTCAGTTTTGTATGGCTTCTTTTTTGTTAAAAATAATGAAACACGTATTGAAATGGAATAAAACAACAGAGCATTAATAAATTGAAAAGGAAATGGAGTAACAAACGTATATATATATATCTGTGTGTGTGTGTGTGTGTGTGTGTGTTCTTAATTTTTAAGTTTAAACCTCTACTCACCCTCGAGTTGTCCATGGCGACGTGGAACTTCTCGTTGTTCACGGTGTACACGGTGATGTTGTCCTTCAGATCAACCTGGACCTTTTCTTCAACTTTCTGCCCTTGCTTGTCAGTTAAACGGAGATGGTACTCCTTGAAGAAATAATAATAATCTCTGGAAAATCATATAAGGCAATGTTTGCTTTAATGGACTATTTTTATATTGGCATTTAGGTTTCCCCAACAACTTAAAAAAGAAACAGAAATATTTTGGCATGCCTTGCAGTTGCAAGTATCCATACAATTGCTCGCGGTAACGATATTTTTAAAGTACTTCTCTTTTCTGTCTGTATCAGATATGTAAATCAATATAATTTCAAAATATTCGATTTTCCCTTATTAAAGTGATCTTTTTAAGTCACTGAACGGACTTAATTTTCTTTTCTTTACGGCACCCGGGTCTGGAACATCAATTGGACCTAGTTACTGAGATTTGCCGGACACAGTATACCTACCTTCCACACATCTTGTGCTGCCTTGTTAGAGATGTGAACTGCTCCCAACGTTCCACCGACAGCAACAGCAACAACAACAATGACAGCAACAGCAACAATGATGTACTTCTTGTACAACGACTTGATCTTAAATATATGAAATAAATTGTATGGAAATATAAATTTAATCAGACATTCAGTAGCTTTCCAAATGCTTTCTGCCCTATTCCATTAGAAATACCCTTAAAAGCTGGTGATGATACATGTATGTAAATATGACATAGTGTTAATACTTATGATTTTAAGACATTGTACAACAGGTTGAAAACGAAATTGACAAATTTAAAGATTCCAGAGGATCCATGTATTTATATCTGAGATTCATGACAATTTTAACATAGAAAACTAAGATGTTTGTTTTCCGATTATTAACTATTATATAGATTAAAAAGGATGTACCTTTATGAAGTTAACATAATCAACACTTCTGTTTATCTCCAGAGATCGCATATAAATCATTTTAATAATTTAACTCACAAAATCTGGATTTAAACATTGCAAAATGTTCAGACCTTAGCATCGTTGATCTTTAAACTATTAAAGATAAAAATACAGGTGTGCACCACACGATGCATCTGTTTTACAGTTTAGCATGGTTACACACCTCTGACATCCCCTGTATACTTAGGCTAAAAAAAAAAACTCCTGGCCTAAACATCTTCAAAGTAGATACACTTACCTCGGCGCTGTCACGTCGAGAGGACCCACCATCTGTGATGACAGTCACGCCGGATTCGACAGACTTTTCGCTGACTGTTGGCAGCATCTTGCAAAAATCAGGTACCAAACAATGTCTTCCTTCTCCAGGCAGAAGGAGACCGCTGTCTGATCCGTGTTTG